TGGTGCAGCGGTGCCTCAGGTTGCGCAGCCTTGGCCTAAAAATTGCTTCGGCTCCATCTTCGACGGGCAACGGCCCGGGCCTCCTGTTCAGCTGTGCGGCATTTGGGATGTTCCCCCGTAGACTAACTAGTCTTTAATAGGGATTATAGTCGGGGGTGCGATAATCCCATGAAAGACTGTTCGTGAAGGAGGGAACGTTCGATGTGTTTGTTGCAGGTTGGGCGATGCCCCGACGATAGACACAGCTTTCAGCCTGAGTTGCAGCCGTCGGAGTCGAACAAAGATGCTGGACATTGGGATGTTCCCCGTTATACAAATAGTCCGTAATAGGGAGTATAGTACCTACCCCCTATTACAATGCCTATTAAGCTACCTCCTAGTACAATCCCTATTAAGGGCTGTTGGTATAAGGGGGGAACATCTGCTGGACATGAAGTGTAGCATGCTCATGCTCATGTTGTCGCCCTTTGCCCTTGTTGACTAAGTCTGGAGGTCCCACCTTGTCTGAAAGTACTCCCCCCTAGTCTTGTTGAATGCGCAGTGTGAAGTGGAGCATTCTGAACTTTGTGTGTGAACCAGGTGAGGTCAAGTCTCAAATTCATGGAGCACCATGGAAAGGATAATTAGTCATGCTCTAAGGTGGAGCAAAACTCTGTCACCCGGCAACAGCAGCAATGAGAAAGCAGCCGGCGAAAATAAACAGACCCTTGTATATGTGAACTGATGCATTTATACAAAAACACATGTGCATACACACACACACACAACTGCGACAGCAACAACGAAAACCAGAACGGCGACGACAGTGAGGACAAGACAGGTGGCGCAAACAATGGCGGCGCACCTTTTGCATCATTGGTTTGCGAACGCGCAAAAAAGTAGGGATTTTTGTGCATGTGCATTTTCAGCGACATCTGTTGGTCGGAATGTTGAGGGCCTTGTGTCCTGGGTGATATGTATGTGTGTCAGCAACACCTGTACTGGGTGGGTTCCACAAGGAGCCAGCAGGGGGTGCAGCAGTTTGTGGCAAAGGTTTTTTTGTTCCTTGCTGGGCACTGATTTTCCCAAGTGATGCATCCTGGCCCCCAGAGCAGAGATTTTCGCTTTTGCTTTCAACGCTGCTGAATTATAGCATCATCGGCCTCAGCATTGAGGGGAGCATGACGACGATTCTTCTTCTCCTCTTGTGCCAGTTTCTTTTGGAGTGCACGCATGATCGGTCTCTTGCTATGCCAATGAACCCACAGTGGGTTCGACAGTCATTATGCACTTGGATTGTGGAGCTTTGCGATTTTTGCATTGAATGGCCGGGACAGCTGGTGGCTTTGCAGCAGAGCTGGGCATGTTTGAAAATGACTAGACGGGTTGAGGCAGCCCAAGGCTACTGCGAAACTCCTGGGTAATCCTAAGCTTGCTGCTTGACAGGCTTAAGCGGCTTAAGCAAGGTTTAGCCTTTGCTTCATCTAGCTTCTCATTTCCAGCAACCGACCTCTTGAAGCGCATGGTTCGAGGCAGCACAGTGGCAAAGGTTGCAAGTCGGTCCTCTGCCAAAAGGCATGGAATCCTTCCTCCAGCCATGGCCTGCACCGTCTCCGCGAGTCCCCGTCACGGTCCCTTCACTTCCTCTGCCCCGCGCCACACGCAGCCGCCCAGGCATCGACAGTCCTCGCAAGTGCTTAGCTGTGTACAGCGGTGTTTAGCATGTGTTTAGCATTTAGCATCTCGGAAGCTCTCGGAACATGATCCATCTTGTCAATCTGGGGCTCTCCGGATTGCATGCCTTTCGCCTGCTGTGATGGACTTTTCGAAGGCTTGTGCATTTGCAGCGCTGCTTGCGCCGCAGTCGCTCAAGACTTAGAGCGAGCGCAAGTGCATCAGTGATGCTGTTTGTAAACGAGTTACAGACCAGGCGGTTGTGCCACGCAGCAGGAGGCGACCAGCACCGGTGCCGAAGGCACGCGTAGGCTTCTCCTTTCTATCACTGGTGTGGAGTGGTACAGTGCTTTCAATGTTGCAGTGGCCTTAGGCCTGCGTCAGAGCATCGACTCCTGATGATAAGCAAGGCCGCAGATCCTGCGAGTCACATCATTTTCTTGGCGTTGCTTGATGTCGAATGTTGCAACGTCGAGTTGTCAGGCGCCGGGTCGTACAAACAGCTTGAGGCCATGTGCTGCTGCAGGGATATCTTGTGTTCGTTCCCCTCTATCTTCTGAATCTTCTGAGGCCTTTCTTCAATCCCAGCGACAAGCCCCACCAGTCCGTGATCCGTTGGGTGGCCCTCTTACTCCGTGCGCTTGTGCCCGAGCACAGCCGTTCATGTAGGGTTTAGGGTTCTAGGGCTTAAGGTTTAGGATTTATGGCTAGGGCGCTCTTTATGGAGGTACAACGACGGCCCCCTTGATTTCATCTTCATCGCCGTGTTTCGGCAGGTGTGTCGTTGTCTCGATGCGGCGGTTGACATCAAGCAGCCTTCTGCCCAAGCCCCAAACCCTATAATAATACTATTATTTCTATAATTACTACTTTCACTATAATTTCGATTATTACTAGAATTACTATAACTACTATAATTAGTGCAATTAGTGCTACACCCTCATCCCTCATCGGCTGCTGACAACTGCCTGACAGGTGATGTCAAGCGTCGCAAACTGGCAGTCTCCGCTGGCATTTTGGGGGCCCGAGGCCAGCAAGCGACTACCGGACTGGGTGTAGGCCCAAGGCTCAGGGCTCAGGGCTGAAATGAAACAGAGTTTAGGGCTTAGGGTTTAAGGGGTAATACCAAAAACCATAGTCTGAAGAACCAGCCACACCGAATGTGGGGCGCAGCTCCCGGACACCAGTTCTTAGGGGCGGGACAGGTCCCAGAATGGGGGGAAAGGGGGCGTCCATGGGGTGTTAGAGAGGGCTCCCAGAGAGTTCCACTATTGAGGGCAGGTTTTTGTTTGGAGACATCCTGATTGGTTAAGTAAATTTCCGGGATGAGGGGGGGGGTAGGAGACCAGATCTGCTGTGTTCCAGACGCCTCTACTTAGGGTTTAGGGTTTAGAAACAAAAATCATAACCTGAGGAATAATTGCACTAATTATAGTAGTGATAGTAATTCTAGTAATAGTAGAAATTTTTAGTCAAAATAGTAATTATAGTAAGAATAGTAATAATAGTAATTATAGTGTTTATAGTAATTATAGTAATTATAGCAAATATAGTAATTGCCATGCTGCACTGGAAGCAGGCCTACGATGGGATGCTGGAGGTGGCGCACGCCCAGCAGTGGGGACGAAGCCTTCAAGAAACGGAGGACTGCTACCCCTAGTTTAGGGTTTAGGGTTTAGGGTTTAGGGCTTAAAGGGTTATAATAAATATAGTACTTATTTCTGTACTTATAACCATACTAGGGCACTCCAAGTGCCCCCAACCCTGCCTACTCTGGTCGGATTAGGGCCCAACTCACCAAAGGTGTGAGCAGCAAGAGTTAGCAAGTCAGTGGCAAGAGATACAGTAGAAGCAGAGTAGAAGGCAAGTGAAGCTGTCTGCGCCGCAAGAGGTTTGAGCACTAAATGATTGCAAAAGACCGCAATCATCCAGATGGGGGTTTACGAAAATGAGGGACCTCTAATGTAGTCCCCACATGGCAGGATGATTCCCTTTTAATGAGGACCCAAGTTCGGAAACCCCAGAAATCATTGCTGGGAGACATGCGGTTGCATTCCAGGAGGGCTGTTTCTTTTGCAAGCCTTTCGGGGGCAACTCATTGCATATGGGGCGAAGCTGTCAGAATGGATCAGAACAAGCTCTCTCGCACACTCCTCTGTTCGTGCTCATTCCATTTGTGGCCCATGAGAACACGTGCAGGAATCCAGCCCCTCAGTATACTGTGTTCAAGAAATCCGGCCTCTGAGCTTCTCAAGAAATCCAGCCCCTCCTTTGAGGAAGTCCATCCTCTCACTTTCTTTTTTTTGGGGGTGCGGCCTTGGTGTAAAAAACCAGGAGTTCGGCATCGTGGCACTGGGGTTGCGCAGTTTGGGATTAGGGTAAGGATGATTAGCGCTGTTGCCGGCAAATACCACATAGGGGAAGGAGGTGAGTTCAATATGATTGATGAATCATTTTCGTGCCTAAGCCTTGAACTTAAAACCTGAACCCTACCCCACTTGCCCTCCCAGCTGGACTTGTCCTCTGATTTGCCCCTCATCGACCTTGACTGTTCACGGCCAAAGCATAAAGTCCTGCAAACAATACAAGGGGGGGGGGGGGGGCTGTCACAGCATGTTCCAAAGTTCAAGCTGGGGTCTTTGATATATGTTGCCATATTGGATGGGGCCCACCATATATATATATATACAGATAAATACATGTTTACTGCTTGAAATCGATGTGTGTATGTATGTATATGTATATGTATATGTATATATATATACATATACATATACATATTGCTATGACGTGAGAGTGAGTCCTAAGTCTTTGACAATGCCATCAGTCCTTCTCATGTGGCCGGATAGTTAGCCGAAGCAACTCGAATTCGCATGCGCCCAGAAGAGGGATGCCCTCAACCCTAAACCCTAAACCCTAAACCCCAAACCCCAAACCTTTTCCGTGAGCTCCGGCAAAGAGGACTCGGCGATGTCAGTCATCGATGGCTTGATTCCTGAGGAGGGCAAGGCAAGCAGAAACCTGGTCCTGTGCAAGATTTTGGTTTATAGGGCTTGGGGGGTAGGGTGATGAATTTGGCAACGTTGCATGCTGCTTGACGCGATTTGGGGGCTTTCTCACCGACATCAGCATGTTGACAATGGTGCGCTTTCCGGTGGCTCAGCTCAGATAGGCACAGCAGGCCACATGTCAACCACCCTAAACCCGAAACCCTAAACCCCAACCAAACATGAACCATGCTGGCACAGTTCAAAGTTCGCCTGATGCGCCCAGCTTATTAAAGACTCTGAGAAGATGCTACAGTAGTTACATCAGTACATGATCGGTTCCAGCACATTCCAGTAGACATGGGGCGGCGGCCTTAGACAAGAAGTGAAACGTAGCGCGCCGAACCAAACCCTGAACCCTACACTTCTTGAGGGCTTCCGAGAATACCCTTTTTGGGTTTTGCGGTTTATAAGGTGCACACCTCTTTTCCCCAAACCCCCACTTTGTCCCGGGCTGAAGGAACAGCTGCTGTCGGGCAGCGATCCCATGTGAGGAGGCGCCCAGCCAGGTCCGCCCCTTGGACGTCATGCGCCCACCTCTTGAACGGCCAAACCCTAAAACCCTAAAGACCCTATTCCCCTGCTACCTCTTGAAAGGCTACACCCTAAAAGCCCTAAAGACCCTAAAGCCCTAAAAAGCCCCAAACCCTAAACTCAAAAACCCTAGACTCCAAACCCTAAACCCTAAAACCCGAAGCCCTAAACCCTAAACCCTAAAACCTAAAACCTAAACCCTAAACCCTAAACCCTAAGGTGGTGCACGAGACTGCAGAGGCCTGGGATCCGATCGGATCCGCAAAATCGCTTGACCAGATACTCGTAAGGCAAAGTTGTGGGTTTGAGGTTTATAGGGTTTGGGGTTTAGGATTTTGGGTTTAGGTTTTTGCATAAAAACTCACATTCGCATAGCAAACTGAGAGTCAGCAGGCCAAGCCGGAGAAAAGGTTTCGGTGTGGTTTGGAGGGGGTCTCTTTTCTATTCTCGGGCTGCTGGGGCTTCAAAAAAGAACCTAGTTCTTAGTAGGGTGTGTGCCACCCAATATATGCGTCAGCTTTCAACCCCTCCCCCCCCGCCCCCCGCCCCCTGCTGGGTCTTGGGGTTAGGGCTTCCCCAACAAAAACTCACATTTTTGGGGACAAAAGTGACCATTTTGGGCCCCCAGAATGGGCAGTTTGACCCCCATGTGGTTCATGGTGGGTTCAGGGTTTTGGGCTTTGCTGTTGGGGTTAGGGGGTTGGTGGCTTTAGGGCTTAGGGTTCAGGGTTGTACGTTTAGGGTTTCCCCTCTCCCCCTGTAGTTTGTGGTGGATTTAGGTTTTGGTGGTTAGGGTCGAGAGTTTAGGGTTAGGGTTTCCCTTCTCTCCCATGTGGTTTGCGTGGGCTTGTGGTTACCGGTCAGTGCTTGGGGTACCATTCGGAGGAGGGGTGGGGGGGCGCGAGAACAGGGAGCGCAGGCGCATTTTTTCCCCTTAAGGGATGCTATATTGTACCCAATTCCCTCATCCCCTACAAAGAACCAGTAGCAAAAGGAATACGCACACCATAACCCGGCTAGATGTGGCCTTTGAGCTACCAATAGAAAGCTATCGAGTGCAATCGGAAAGCACGGCCGCAGGAAGAGCGAGTGTTGCGAAGCCGCACAGAAAGCAAAGAAACCAAGAACCAGCGCGAACAGAAGCCACTTCTGCACATTCGAGCAGTGGTCGCACACGCTCCTTTTATGGCATGACGGGACGGAAGTGATGAATTAGACGGTGGGGGTGGGGGGAGACATGCTGCTGCTGTTTTGTCAGGCTTCCAGCAGCGAAGTGCACGCCTCAGAACTCACAGCATCTTGCAGAAACTTGCAGTCGAAAGCAAGCTGGGGCAACGGAGGTTGAAGATCTGCTTCGAGAACTGTTCCGGCGCTGGCCCTGTTGCACATACTTGCCGAATCCTTCGCTGAAGCAGACTGCAGGCAGTTGGATCGTGTTGGTGCGCGTTGGTTTTCCCGACTCACCTTGCGAAGTGTGCCGCAGCCCTTTTTGAGATCCGTGGCCTAGCAGCTCCTACGCTCCAGCTCTCTCAGCCACTCCTCGATTGCATCATGGCGACACTCGAAGCGATGGTAAAACTTTGATGTAGTATCGCTGTGGTTATGTTGAGGTGCGTTCGACATCCCGTCCGCGAATCGAAAGTCAAAGAGAGAGAGAGAGAGAGATTGAGCGGTAGAAGCCAAGACCCGAAACCGGTAGACATATCGTCGCTCCGACCAAGATAGTATAAACAGGCATCAAAGGAATCCCCCGACAAAGAGGGAGACGCAGACAACGGATGAGGCTTGGTGGCCTCGCTGGAATCAACTGCCACTGCGAGTGGGGATTGCACCTTGCCTTGACTTGTCTGTAGTATATATATATACACACATAGATGTATGCATAACATGTACTTTTGTGTATATTATATACATACACACGATATATATATATATATACATATTATGTGTGCTGAGTGCGTTCAGATTGGTTTAGGGCTGTGTATCATCCATATTTGATCCACTCTGATTCGGCCGTCCGCTTGCACCTTCTTTCCTAAACCCTAAACCCTAAACCCTAAACCCTAAACCCTAAACCCCTGTCTTCCTATTCCCGGGAATAGGAGCGGGATATTGCTTGGCATCGTCATCATGCTCGCAGCAGGACGCTGTGCATGTCATGCTTGCTGTGGACAGCTACGAGACCTCGTAGGCTCAGTTCGTGGAGAATCCAGATCCGTTGTCAGGCGTCTTCACTGCTTTGCCCGTTTACTTTGATCTCTTCTGCTACCAGTGGTATTACGCGCTGCGTCTTGGCACATCTTGGATCATGCCGGCCAGCACATATTGAGTCTGAACCCCTGGTGGTAGCAAAGCTTTTCAATGAACCGGGCAGTTGGACTCAATGCCTCCATGGCCACAGGTGCTGGTTTTGGTTCTTGCTTGGAGCTGCGATGCTTGTGTTCGGAATCATCTACGAGGCCTCGCGTCCGCCCTAACTTGCCAGCATGCTGACACGTAAACATGCCGCAGCATTTACATAAGCAAGCTAGCCGCGGCCAGCTGCGCATGAGAGTCTGTTTCGAAGGCTTGCGCCACCAAAGCTGCAAAGGCCCGCCGCTGAGTCAGTTTGTTGGGCCTTTGTTGGGGACGTGTGCATTCATGGATGAGTTGTTTAAGGTGAGGATATGATATCGCTTCCTCACAGAATACCCCGGTATTTGCCAGATTAACGAAAGCAATCTGCAGATCATGGCGAAGGGTTAGGCATATCAAAAACTCAGTACACTACTGTACTTAGTGGGGGTGTTGCATGCGTAAGCTTCCCTCAGTTGTGATAGCCTCTTGGCGAGGAAGTTTCTCTCGATCCGAAGCAATTCCCGAAACCTAAACTTTAGGGTTTAGGGTTTAGGGTTTCTTCACCCTAAACCCTATACCACTACACTCAAAAGCCATGTACTGAGGCCAGGGAGATCCAGGGAGTGGAAGAGAATGGTGATGGCCCTTTGTCAGCGCCAACCCCGTACATCATGATCAACTGAGAAGAGTGCCCTGGACGCAGTTTAGGGTTTATTTAGGGTTTAGGGTTTGGGGTTTGGGGTTTAGGGTTTCGGGTTTAGGGTGTAGGGTTTCCTCCTCAGGCTGGCATGTACTGCAATCGGGCATCCGTGCTGGCCTAGAGTTGCATTCAACGGCATCTGTGCAAATTGAGGTGGATCCCTGGCGCCTGCCTCGCTGCAGCGTCCGCGGCTCCAACTTTTTGTGATCTCTTGGAACATGAAGTTTTCAGATTCCTGGCATCGAGCAGAGGGGTGCAGATCATGTGATGCTTGTCTTTGGGCGTTCTGTTGGGCATTATGACCTGCAGATCTTAGAGAAAAGGAATCATTTCATCCCGCTCTGTTGGCTGAAGCACAGGAGCTCAACCATTGCTTATCACTGCTTGACGTAGCCCATAGCCTGTCGGCCTCTTGGGCTGCCACAGAGCTTTCACCTCCTACTGGCATGCTGTACTTGACAAGTGCAGTACAAAGTTGATGGAGCAAGCTGGCAGAAGATCTCCGGTCATCCGGTCATCGATGCAGTAACAAAGACTCTGCACCGAAGAGTATGAGAAAAGGAAGCCACCTGCGTCAGTGTCATCTGACATTCGGGTTTAAGGTTTATAGGGTCTAGGGTTTAGGGTTTGGGGTTTGGGGTTTGGGGTTTGGTGTTTCAGCCCAAGCAACAAGCCATCTTGGGCCAAGAGCCGGCCCAGGTTGCACGACCTCAACAACAATGGCCTCCTTGAGATTGAGGAACTTGTGCAGCTAAATTCAAAGGCCTAGGTTTAGGGTTTAGGGTTTAGGGTTTCGGGTTTAGGGTTTAGGGTTTAGGTTTTAGTGTAACCATTCTGCCGGCCAATAATCTGGAACGTGCTTCTGGAGGTGGCCCTCCTCCACCGCGGAAAGGACGCAAACCTGCTGGCAGTGAAAGCCAGGACCGGGCTGCTCAGAGACGTTCCTTGCAAGCCCTAAACCCCTCAAACCTAAACCCTAAACCCTAAACCCTAAACCCTAAACCCTAAACCCTATCTCCGAGGTACCGGGAGCTCTTCAAGGAGCGCCTGGATCCCGATGGCCATCCGGTGAAGCGGCCCGGATCATTTTGATTCGTAATCTGACACTTAGGGGTTTAGGGTTTAGGGTTTAGGGTGTAGGTATATGGGCATTTCTCAAAATAGGGGTACCCCCTTTGGACGCCAAATAGAATAGAATCCCCTTAAAGGGACCCCCCCCCAAAAGGGTACCCCTAATTTCGGAAGCACTCTTATGGCAATAGAACATATTCGAAATATCATCATATCATACTATCACATGATCATGGTTATGTCATTCTTTTCATGCAACAGTACGTGTTGTTATCACATCCACCTGGACCTATCTCATGGTGAGGTTTGAAACCTTCCGGAAGTATGTCATCCAGGTCCACTGGCCTAGCACGCTCGAGTTTCGAAAAATCGTCAGCCATTGGAGATTCAGGTGTTGGACGGCATTGACCGCGATCCAATGGCTCAGGTCAGCAACTCACTCTGACTGTGCAGTATGCTATATCCCGCATATAAGCCCTTTAAGTGCCCCAACAGGCTTATAATTGTGTTATAAGTACAGTTATAATTTGGGTTACTAAGTACCATGAACCTCCAAGTATCTCACTCTCCCTGGGCAGTATGCTTCCATTGATTGAACAATCAGCTGTACCGGCGTAGATTTGCAGGAGATGATGCTTGAGCAATTCGTAGCAGAGGCCACGTGAGATGCACGCTGATGAGCGCACCACTCGTATGAGTTCTGAGCATGAGCTCACCGAGTGGAACCGCAGATGTCGATAGTTTTTTGCTCAGGTTGTTTCCAAGGGTGTCATAGAAGCTCCGTGCGCCATGCGAGAGATCTCCAATCCATTGGGTGTGATTGATGATCTCTTTACAGCCTGCACCAAAGGTGACGTGCTGAATCCTCCTCGCGAGTGGGGTGAGAAGACTCACTTCATAAAGGCTTTGCAGCTTGAGGACGAGGAAAATTTCAGCAAGGTCCCATGCCTGAACAATGTGGAGTTGGTAGAGCAACTTCCGCCATTCAGCTTGGTGCGATATCGATGTATGGTGCAAGACATTTTCGACCCGGAAATGTATGCAGCCTTCTGCTTGAGAAAGACTGCAAATGGAGACACACAGTTGGTGAACTTGAAGTATCGAGACAGACTTCCTGAGGGAGAGCTTGAGGATGTGGGCAACTCTGCGCTCAGCATGCGCGGAGCATACTACTGTGTGCCGCTTCCCGGTGAGACTGCCTGGGCAACTGATTCGGCGCAGCCCGCGCTGGCCACACATCAGCCCACCATGGCTTCAGGAGTGAAGCGCCGCAGGCCCGATGAGGACGTAGACATGGGCGACATGGACATGGGCCTGGGAGCGGGGAGCGCTCCCGCGAACGCTCCCGAAAGACCCGAAAACCTGGAAGCCGCGTGCTCAAGGCCGAAGCACAGCCCGGCGAAGGGCCCGGAGGTCGGCCAGAATGCGGACACCTTCGGCTTGAACCTCCCCTTACCGGAGGAGAAACGTTCCCCATGTATCGTGAAGCTGTACGATGCAGATGAGGAAGCCCTGAAGGTCTGCGAGGCTGTCGAGGTGCTTGGCATCCTCTGCGTGGACCCACAGATGGCCAACTTGGGAGAGTCAGTGTGGGCTCTTGGTGTGGATGCCCGGGATCCATCGACGGCCTTGGTGCCCCGGTTGCATGGCCTGGTGGTCCGAAAGCTTCCGTGCTATCACCCGATGTTCCCCTTCACGCCGAGTTTTTTGTCAGAAGAGCGCTTGTCATGCGCCTTTCAGGGCCGGCTGGCCGCTCCGGGCGCCCTTGCTGCTGCTCGCCAGGCAGCCCTCTCCTTGCTGCTCCAGTCTCTTGGTGACCAGGTGGCGGCTGAGTACGTCCTGGCCTTGCTCGTTTCTCGTGTCTCCGGATCTGGCGATGCACTTGGTCCATGGTCACTGAATCTCACTCAGCTGGACACCCTGCAGGTCGCCGCCCTCGTTCAGGCAATTCAAGAGCTAGTGCCTCGAGCAGTTTGCCTGCCCATGACAACCGAGTCGCTCAACGCGGGGCGCTGGTATCCGAAGAAAGACTTCAATGCCAATCGGCTGGTGTCTGGCAAGCTGCAGCTGGCAGGCGGGACCATCCTCGTGCTGGATGAGACGCAGCTGAGCGAGGGAAGCCTCAACGAAGAGGGTGTTCGCGCCTTTCACGCCATTCAGGGCGTTGTTTCGAAGCAAGCTCTCCTGTGCCTATGTCCCCCTTGGGAATTGTTTTTTGTTTTTGTTGATATAAAACCCAAGAGGATACTAGAAATACTATTTTTATTAAGGTTCTAAGCGGAGCACAGGTGCGACTTCGCCGTGTGCACGATGGAGGTTCCTTTGGAGCTGAACTGCATCGTTGCCTCGAAAGGTGCTTCAGTGCTGAAGGCCGCCACAGTGACGCTTCCACTCGACAGCAACACGTGCACCAAAGGCATGGACTCCATCCCGGACTCCCTTCCCAACTCTGAGACTGCTTCTGGTCTAGATGCCGCCAGATTCTTGTTGGGCCTGATCTCTCGGCAAACTCGGCAAGTGCGGATTCCTGAGAATGTGGCCGAAGTGCTCAGCTCGGATTACGCGGAGGTGCGGAACGCGCTCCAGGAAGTCGGGCAAGCAACCCTCTGCTCATGGGTTTCCTTGGCAAGGTCACTTTGCCTGTCTCATGGGGAGGACGAGCTTTCGCTGTCTCGGTGGCGCTCCATCTTCGATCTTGAAAAGCAGAGGCTGCAGCGATGTGTGGCAGCGGGCTTGATGCATCCTCGCTGATCGGTCTCTAGGCAGGCCCTTGGGAGATTTTCTATGTTCCCTTTTTCTTGGGTTTAAGAGGATGATATTCGCCCTGAACCCTATACACTCAGACCCTAAACCCTAAACACTCAGACCCTAAACCCTAAACACTCAGACCCTAAACCCTAAACGCTAAACACTCAGACCCTAAACCCTAAACCCTAAACCCTAAACCCTAGAGGAATCTTCTTCAGAGGGGTTTTAAATGGGCCATCTCAGGTCGAGATGCCCTTGAACCGGATGTTTGACTTCTGAACTGCAGCGGGGCAGTCGGCCAGCAGAGGTACAGGGTGGGGCCCCCTAGTTATAAGTAGAGTTATAAGTAGAGTTATAAGTAGAGTTATAAGTAGAGTTATAAGTAGAGTTATAAGGGCCCTAAATTGGGTTATAAGGACCCTAAGTTAGGTTATAAGTCCCTTAGCTACAGTTAGTATAGTAAGGGGGCCCCACCCTGTAGCCAATCCATGGCAAAAGTTCATGTGTAATGAGTGTAATGCGCGCACGAGGCCCTCGTCATGAGGCCCTCGCCACGAGGGCATCGCGAGGCCATCCTGCGCAGCAGGTGCGCAAGAAAGCTGCGCGCACGCAAAAAGAGAGGGTCAGCGCGGGACGTGACCGGGTTGCATGCGAGCTCTGAGTTTACCCCAACTCATGCTTCGATTTGCATCTTGCTCTGCGGGGTCACGGCAGGCCAAGTCTGCACGTGCTGTCTTTCACGCGCCGTCCTTTGCAAGCCATGCGGACAAGGTGCCTGCTCTTGCACATTAGCGTTTTTTCTGTCGTCCCAGAAGTCTTCGGAACTCGAAGTGAAGATACCCGAGAGGCGTTCCTCCCGCATCTGTCCTTCCACGTAAACTCCTTTCCGAGGAGAATGTCTGTTGCAAGCAGCGTAGCGTGGTTGTGCATTGCCATCCGTGGAAAGGTTTTGTGCTGGCATGAGGAGAAGTCCAGACAAGATGACCAGCCACGATACGCGCAAGCCTCCTTCTAAGGCAAGTGCGTCATGCTCACAAGACCTCCTGGGCTCATCAACTCTTGTCTATTTGTGGCAGGATGTGAAGGTCAAAGCCGCCTTGGGTGGTGCATGACAGCCAGGCCGAGAATCTATGCCAGAAGGACCACGTGCAGTCAGTCCATTGTTCCTGACCATGTGTTCTTATCTGAGGACGTCTGAGCATCTGCTAAACCCTACACCCAAATCATTGAAAGGCTGGGGCGCAAGTTCGTCACAGAGCTCTGAAGGCTGCCAATGTGCCCAGCAGTCTGGCTGGTTCTTAGTAGGGAATCAGGGAACGACCCTATCTAATCCCATCTAATCCCTTAAAGGGTATATATAGGACCCTAATTCCCCTATATAATCAATATAATCTCTGAAGGTAATCCCTGAAAGGGTATATGTATTTTGTAATATATATATAGAGAGAGAGAGAGGGCACTAATTCCCCTACATAATCCCTTAAAGGGTGTATATAAATATAAATATATATTTATACTTATATACATATAAGGCACTAATTTTCCGAAATATTCCCCCTGTATAATCCCTTGAAGGGTATCTGTAGGGCTCTAATTCAAATTCCCTCATTCCCTACTAACCGCGGGGGTAGTCTTGCGCCTCGGGCCGCGTGACTGTAGCACCGGGAGGATCTGAGAGGTTTGCGTTTAGGGTTTAGGGTTCAGAGTTTAGGGTTTATAGTTTTTTTTGTGGATTTGGACGGTTTGTAGGGTTTATAGGGTTTATAGGGTTGATAGGGTTGATAGGATTTGTAGGGTTTATAGGGTTTGTAGGGTTTATAGGGTTTATAGGTTTTTAGGGTTTAGGGCAATGCGACCTTTGACGGTAGACAACCCTGAACCCTAAACCTGCTCATTGTCTTCTGAAGGGGATGAGTTTCATGGCAATGAGATCGAGGCATGCTGTGTGCACGAAAATTCGCCTGCCGGTGGACGAATTCATCAATTACGTGCATGAGCTTGCATGTTGCAAAAGAACCGTCTGTCCGAGGGGTCTTGCGACTTGTCTGTGAGCTTCTTTCCCTGAAGTCCAGGAGAATGGTAGCTAAACCCTAAACCCAAGACCCTTGCAAATCTGCAGGCACGCTTTCGCTCGGCGCTGCAGGCAGACAAGATCCTTTGGCGCAAGTAGAAGAAGGGAGGCATTGGAGGGTTTCGGGTTTGGGGTTTGGGGCTTAGGGTTTAGGGTTTATAGGGTTTAGGGTTTGGGGTGTAGGCTGTAGGGTTTAAGGGTGTTTAGGGTTTAGGGGCAATATGAACAGCACTTGAAGACCCGTGATTGCATCCACGCCGGCGTTCAGGTTGCCAGCCAGTTTCTTCCCAAAGCTGAGCAAGTCCACCTGGACATTCCCGGTCTTTTTTTTCTTGGGTTCAACAAATGACGGCTCGTTTGTCTCAGCGCAACATCATGAAGGTTCTCACGGCCGAGGGAGCCCCAATGCTCCAAAACCGGGTCTCGGGTCTAATGGTTTCAGACTCGGTCCGAATTCATGAAACTCTCCCACGCCGGAGTGGTCGGAAAAACTTGCGCGCGCGCGGCCTCGGCAACCAAACTGGCCCAACGCGGGGTTGCACCGTGCGCATCTCAGGCGAAGGAAAGAGCAAAGGTCAAAAAATGTCGCCTGGTGCAGCACAGCCCACGTCATGAGTTGAGGAGGCAAGAGGCTTCAGGAGGATTCGCTTGAGTCCCCAAAGCTCAGCCGAGGTCGAGGCTCAGGCGAGTTTTAGGGCTTCTTCCATCATGGAAAGGCACTTGACTCTCACTTGACCTTCAAATTGCCTCCACATGCGCTTATGCGTCCTCCCATTTTGGGCCTTCGCTGGCTGAGGCACGAATGACTTCGCCACAGCTTTTCTAAGCCCTCTCTGAAAGCCTTGTCTGGTCAATGTCGTTGACATGTCGGGTGAGCACGAAGGGCCGGGTACGCTTGCTGTGAGCACGAAGAATTCTGATTCCGTCAAAGTCGGGGGGGGGGGGCTGAGGTTGAGAGAGAGATGGAGTTAAAAGCCAGTGGTATGGTTATGCATCCGTGCATTTATAAACTCTCTCCATGCGACCCTCTGCACCAGAGACACTTGTTCCTTGTGTGCCTGGCCATTCATTTCTTTCTCTGACAAGGAAGCAGTGCGTCTCAGGTTCGGAACAGAGCTGAATGCCTGGATTACGGCAGCAGATGCCTCAGAGGAAGTTTCTGAAGACTCGGCTTACATGCCTGGTTGAGCCAGGCCTTCTTTCCCTTCATGGTCGGCAAGTGCGAGGCCAATGGTTGTTGAAAGTTGAGATGCAATCTGGTTTCCTGAGACTTGTGTAGCCCCTGAGAGACTTATCCCATCACATAATGTGAGAACGGCATCCGCCACCCTGCAGAGCAAAGCATGTCACTGGCAGGTGCAAGAACGAACGGCGGAGGCAAGCAGTCCTGTGGGGATGCAGCCAATCGCCTTGCTCAATCCAGTAAGAGCAGCATGGCTCAAGGCTTCCTGAACTGCAAACCAAGGGTAGCGGGTAGCCTTGGCCAGCTACTCTTGTCCCATCTTGTCCCTGACAAGATTTCGCTCATGGCTGTAGATTGCTGTTCTAGGTTTTCATTTGGCTATTTGCCGATATTGACGGGCAGGCAGACATAGTGGTGACACATTGTGACTGTGGAAGCCTGTATGTACACACATATATATATATATAGATATATACATATACATATATTCGGCACATGGGCACGCAGCGTGCTGCACGTGCAGGAGATGCAGCAGATTCCCGCCGGCGAGGCCATTGCAAAAGAACTCTGCCTTGCAATCTTTCGAAAAGCGGAGGACCGTTCCCTCAAGCGGTGAGTTATCGCATGCCTCAGTCCTGGAACTGCGCCGTGAAGATCGAAAAGTGCCGCTGGCTCGAGAGGCCAGCTAGCCTCCTAATGCTCCATGAGTTTAAGGGGTTTATAGGAGCATCGGGCTAACAGGGGAACAAGGGTTTGCAGGACTTTTGTGGTTCACTAGGGTTTGTCGTGGTCACAAGTCATGTTTCCAGCAACAGCGGCCAGACGTTGCCATTGCAATCCTAGAACGTCAGTCTGCTTGTTCTCGGCTCAGGTGAAACTCCTCGGGGCACTAGGAGGGCGGGGTACAAAGCTGCCATGTTCTCAAAGAGCAGTACCAACAAATCCAGCAAAGAGAGCAAGGACTCACTCGGCGAAGCTGGGGAAAACAGCTTTGGTGAGGGACGACCCTTTCCGCAGCTGGGGTCGTATGACCGCCATGACAGAATCAAGAAGGCGGCGTACCTCTTACTGGAAGCACAAAAGGCTACTGCAGAGCAGACGCAATTCTTCGAGACCTGGCTGAAGATTGTGTTTGATGAGGCTGTGCCAGTCTCGACTGAAGGTGCAACACAGCTGAGAGTACCTACCGACCTTGAGTCCCTTGAGCTGAGCATCAAAGCTCCGAAGGAGCTGATGCTAAGGCTTGCGAACCGTTTTCTCGAGGCTTGCAAGGTCCCGGACCTCCGCATGCTCCAGCAGTTTGCCCAGCTGCAGTGGGAGAAGGACGATGTCCCCGAGGTGTCATTGTGGTGCAGGCTGAAGCGGTTGGGGAGTGCTTGCCCTGGCGTTGATGCTGGCTTTCACTTAGACCAGTCCATGGAGTGGCTGGTTACAGATATTGTTGTTCCCAAAAGTGAGGACCAGGCAAACTTGCGAAACAACGCTATGTCCCACCGCCTTGTTCCTTTCGCATATGGCGCATCCCTGTTCCCCATCGAGCCCGAATCCTCCTTGACCTTCGATATGGAGACAGGATCCATGAAGTCGTCAATCCTCTCTGCCCTCTTCATGTTTGGAGCTATGGGCTTTGCAAAGCCCGAAGATCTTGGTTTGACCGCAATCACTCACGTGGATGCCATGAAGTGCTATTTGCTTGCAGCGCTTGGTCCGAAGGGATTGACTCGAATGGCGCTACGCTTTGAGAAGCCTCAGGCCACATGCGTTGCGGATCTCACGTCCGCGTGCAATATCAAAATACGCACTGATGTCATCGCCGATATCGAAATTGAGCTGGACAAGACGCCTGGCTTTGTCGAGTATGCTGCTGAGATGCGAGGCTACACCGTCACGGTGGGCTACGTTTTGTGAACCCACTTGCGGCAGACTGGCCTGAAAGACCCAAAAAAGTTCGTGTGGATCGATCGTTGAGAGGCTGATTCAGAAGTGTTTTCGTGGACGTCTTCACATTGCTGCATGACTCACACACACAATGCCCGTGTGGGAATTGAGGGGCGGCCAAGCAATTTGAATGCGCATGTGTTGAGCATGATGCAGGAGCGGCTGCGTTGGAATGTGCACGTGGCCCAGACATGCCATGCTTTTCGCACAGTTCTTGTTTTGGTGTCTGTCTTCTTCTTGCTGCATGAGGTCCTGCTATCTGAAGCTGCTTTTTCAGGATTTGGAGTTTTGGAGGGCTTCATCCCCGAGTGGAGAGTCTTCTTCGACACAACGACTCGTTACGAAGACCCCTAAGCCGGCCCTAAACCCTAATCCTAAACCCTAAACCCTACACTCCGCAGTTCATGAAACTTCGAAAATGGCTCAGAAGACCCTGAAATTTGAGCTAGCTTCGGACCCTAAACAGGAGTGAGCCGCGAGGGGCAAGCGCTGAACCTTGCAAACGGGAAACATACTAGGGTTTAGGGTTTAGGGTTTAAAGTTTAGTTTAGGGCTTAGGGTTTAGGGTTTAGGGCCAAGTGGTACTCACCACCAATCTCAGCATGAATCATAGAAGGCATGTCAAGTCGCCAAGTGGCGCGAAGAAGTCCGGTTTCGACCGCTTTCGGCCAAAGTGACGCTGAAAAATGTTTGCCCTTGACGCTTTCTCAGCTAAGCCTGCTTGTCAGCCTCCTTCTGCCATGTCTCGAGAAAGCCACTCTGAAGAATTGCGCTCGGTCGGCCGAGGAAAGTTCCTGATTCTGAGTTGTCTCGGCTCGTCGCGTGCTGTGTTGGCTTGCCTGGGATGGTTCTAGGACTCAGCGAATTCAAGAATGCCGAATGAGAGCAAGGGCCAGAAGCGGGAATGAACGGAAGCGGTTTGAGGAGGTGCAGGTATCCGTTGTTACTTCCCGCAATTGGTACCACTCTCCGTGACAGCTTTGCACAGCTTCACATCGTTCCATTCAGTGTGAGGTCTCAGTTCATGTCTTACTCGTGGAGCGTTGGCATTGCTCACGACGCAACGCTGCCTCAATGAGCTAGGACGGCAGTGAAGGCTGCGAAAACAGATCGCCAGACGTGAGTTCTTTGCAAGGAAGCCCGCAAGGTTCGGAGAGCTCCCCGAAGATAAGGTGAAACTGAAAAGGGTTTAGGGTTTGGGGTTTGGGGTTTAGGGTTTAGGGTTTAGGGTTTAGGGTTTACGGCGACATAGTACCCTATAACATGCCTGTCCTCAAGGTGCAGGCCTCTGCAAGCGACCTATGCAGCGAATGTTCGGAGAGGCGAGGCCGACACACACGGAGCTTTGCCCTAAACCCCAAACCCCAAACCCTAAACCCTAAAGCCTAAACCCTAACCCCTACAAACCCTACAGACCCTAAACCACAAGGTGCCTACCTCCCTCATTCCCGACCCACAGCCCGCAAGTTGACATTGCCAGAGGTGCTCGGAATGCCACTTTCCATGGAGCCTGACATGGAGGAACACTACAGTACCCGGAAGTTCCCCCAGCATGTTGCAAGACGCAATGACCATAATGCTTTCGATAAGAATTGGGTTTAGGGCTTCGGGTTTAGGGTTCAGGGTTTAGGGTTTAGGGCTACAGCCTACACCCTAATCTCTTGAAAGGGTGCCTCTATTTCGGGGGAGCCCTAAGCCCTGAGCATCCCTGAGCCCTATGGAAGTCCCTAAACCCTAAACCCTAAACCCTCAACCCTAAACCCTGAAAGTGGTGAAGGACCTGAGCTGCACCATGGTCTTTGGCAAAGAACCAGACCCTTGGGAGCAGGCTGGGGGTTTGGGCTTTGGGTTTTGGGGTTTGGGGTTTGGGGTTTAGGGTTTAGGGTTTAGGGACATCGGATGTCGTGGCCATCTCCAAGCACATGACATGCTGACAGGATGAGCTTCGAGAGCAGCCGTGCTTCGAGACATGTGCCACGGCCAGGACGTGCTCTGTGACGCCCCAGTTGTCAAGCGTGTAGGGTTTAGGGTTTAGGGTTTCTTCTGCTCATGTTCGTTGCCGTGCTCAACCCTGCATTGTTTGTGCGAACACCCCAAGCCCTAAGCCCTGATGTGCAGGATGACTGGAGCATGCCCCAAGCTGTCGTGATGTCGGGGGCAATTGCACGAAAAAGTGAGCTGCGTGCTGCCATCGCTGTGTGGAACCAGTACGAGCAGAAGCAGGCCAACCAGTGTTGATGTGATGCCCAAGTCTGCCCTACCTGTCCTTCAAATTTGACAATGCTTGTGGCTTTTTCCAGGCAATAGCCAGCAACGAGCAATGTTGTCACAATCCGCATGCAACTAAACACACAAACTGGCACGCCTCGTCAGCATTCCTGAAAATGCTACGACAGCATGTCCTGACCTGCAACAATATGTACTAACAAGCTTCGAGCATGTCATACAGTGTCCTGGCAATTTGTGACGTAAGCCTTTATTTGCGCCAAGCTGCAACTGCAAAACGCGTAGTGAGACACGCGACTCGGAGCGCATGCCAGCCCTGCATCGCAAGTTGGGTTGGCGCAGCTCGGACAGCACACCAGAGCTAGCTTGGTCATGTTTTGTCATTCGGGCACCGCCCTTGAATTCCAGATACGGTTGGGCCACACTTAGACATGGCACGCGTCCGCAGCTGAGTAGTACACATGGGGGTTTACGAAGACAAGGGAACCCTAAGACAGACCCCAAATAGTAGGGTTCCCTTACAATCAGGATCCCAATAAGGCATCATTTTCGGAAGCCCCCGCATGGCTAGCGGCTAGCATGATTTTACGGCTCTGTCGCGCTTGCCAGGTTGATGGGTGAGTTCGATGACTCGGCGTCCAGCCCAGATATCTCCCAGAGAGCCCAATCGCCCTTAATGAAGGAATATACCCTTAAATGATATAGGATCCTTAGAATGATTAAGGCAATATACCTTAAATTACATAGGGGTCCTTAACAAGATTTAAGGTATATACCTCATTAAAGGGGGATTGGGCTCTTTCGGCTGTGGGATGTCCAGGGTTTGCCTGTGCTGTCATCATGTCCCGTGCTGCAAGACTGGCGCACAGAAGCACACCAAAACCCTAAACCCTAAACCCTTAGCCCTAAACCCTAAACCAAGTTTCACAGGGTGGCTCATACTGACTCTTTTGTGCAGATTGGATCGGCAGTCTTGAGGAAGTTAAACGCCCTTCAGCTAAAGCTCGGCAGCCTCTCTGACACAGATTTTTGCCTAAACCCTAAACCCTAAACCCGTTTTGCAGGCCGGAGGAAGTAACAGTCCAGTCGCTTGCAGGGAGTAGGTTTCAGCAGCATTAAACCAAATTCCCTTTTTCCTTTTTGCAAAGTACGCAGCCTAGGCTTGAGGATGAAACGCGGTAACGGTCGAAGGGGTCCGTCTGCTGCAGGGTTGAGGGTGGAGAGTTGAGGGTTTATAGGGATTGGGGTTGTGGGCCAGTTTAGGGTTTCTTGCCGGGCCCCTTTTGGAACCCCGATTGTTCTTGTCTACAATCCCTCTTGGTGGAAGACTTTGCGGAAGCTCGCAGGCGGATAATTACTCCAACTTGAAGAAATGAAGAACAATGCTATGAGTTCAACGTTGAAAACGGCCCGACACACTGAAAAGGCAGCAGCCGAAAGATGAGACTGATGAGAGTTGTTGCATGACGAATCGCGCAGAAATCTGTTCTACCTGCTTAAGAGCTACCGATGACATTCAATCTCCGGACCTCGCCGAGAAAGAGATCAATCCACAGCCCGAGGGCACACAAATGCCCACAGCCAGGCCTACGTTCGGCAAGTAGCGGCGGCAAGCGGAAAGAAGATCAGACATGGCAAGTGGCCGGAATCCCATACAAACAAACTAGGGTGCAAGACCACATTTGGAAACTCAAGAGCTTCCTGCAAGAGCCGAACGGCCTGTGAAATTTTACTGAAGACCGCTTTGCATTCGGCTTTCACGGGTTTTGCATGTCAATGTCCCGGGAAGCTGAGAAAGAGCGAAAGGTTAATGTCATTGGCGATTCAAGCAACCTACCGGTACACCCTGAGGGAGGCATGACCAGCTGCTGCCGTAGATGCGGAAGGTGCCAGATGGGAAGGCGAGGCAGGTAGCAATCGTGCCGGGAAGGTCCGTAACACTGGTGTTTATACCCGAAACCCTAAACCCTAGAAAACAAGACAAGAAAGCCCTGGGCGTGCGCTAGTAGAAGCTCGTAGCCTGCTCCCTTGATGATTTGCTTTTAAGGTTTAGGGTTCAAGTCTTAGGCCGCCTTACCAGCCCTAAACCCTAAACCCTAAACCCTAAACCCCAAACCCCAAACCCCAAACCCCAAACCCCAAACCCTAAACCCTAAACCCTAAACCCTAAACCCTCCCCCCCGCTCCTAATGCGTAGCAACGAAGCCAAAGGTGGCATCTTGGGGCGCCCACGCCGCAGTGGAGAGCGATCAGGCTGTGGAGCGAGCTACTTGGCACTTGGCATGGGTTTAGGGTTTAGGGTTTAGGGTTTAGGGTTTAGGCTTTAGGCTTTAGGCTTTAAGCTTTAGGCTTTAGGGATTCGGGGGTTTAGGGTTTAGGGTTTAGGGCCGTGTAGGGTTCAAACAACAAGGGCCTTAAACCCTAAACTTTCAGAATTATTCCGAACATTTCAGATTTGTGAGGCTTGTCAGCAAGTCTGTCCAAAGGTCCGATTAGCCTAGGCAACGCTTTGACCAGATTGGGATTCAGCAGACCGCTAATAAAACCAGTTACAGTTATCATTATTTTTGTTGTGTGTGTGTGTGTGTGCGTGTGTGTCGGGAGGAGGTTTTAACTTTTTGAACGGTTTTGTGCTTTCACTACTCCTGTTTTTTGTTTTGGATTTTGCAAACATGTTTCAGCTTGATGCATTTTTTCTGCGGGCGTGTGCTCGCTCCTTGCTCCATGTTTCTGATTTTGCGGCATGCTGTGCCTTGGTGGTTTGCTTTGTGCGGTTCAACCGTTTGCTCTTTGCTTTCTCCCTGATGTTGGGTTCTTTGCTGCTTCAAGCATGGTTAGGGTGGCTACGAGTACTCGCGGCCGTGGTATTCTGATGACTAGTGTAGAGTAGTACTACTACTCACATTATTGGCAACATTCCGGTCGTCTAGTTGTGCTAGGACGTTGGTCGTCCTCTCAAGGCGTCTTCCTTTCACGGCTAGAAGCGTGACCATTCTTGTTCTTGCGATTGCTATTCTTACTATTATTGTTTTCCATGGTGTTCCGAGCGAGACTCCTTTTTTCAGGGTGTTGTTTTTTTTTTGGATTTGTTTTGTTTGTATGTTTTTTGAGGTTTGTAGTCAGCAGAAGAAAAGGGCGGAAGGGAAGGAAGGAAAGAAGGAAGGAACATCATGACATCATGAGAAAGTGCTTCCAAACCCCAGTTTTTTGGGTTCCTTTCCAAGCCAGACATGCCAGCCTTAGCGTTGCAAATGGTGGGGAGCCCAGGGGGGGGCAAGCTGTTGAGGGGTTTAGGGTTCAGGGTTTAATTAGGGTTTCGGGTCAGCGTCCTCAATGCTGTGACTCGCTCACGCAGGTAGGATGTTCTGCTGCTGCAACTTGCCTGATTACCTGGACGGTTGAGCATGATGCAATGTGACACTTTGATCTGTCTCGCGCAGCTCGCGCCCTGCACAACCCTAAACCCTAAACCCTAAACCCTAAACCCTAAACCCTAAACCCTGTGAGGTAAGTGTGACATCAGTGGACCCGAAGGCTGGCACCTTTCAGGTGAGGATGGTCTGTCAATGGGCTTTTCGAGCCAAGTCGGCATTCGCGGTTTAGGGTTTAGGGTTCAGGGTATAGGGCTTAGGGTCTGACTACCAGCTGACTACCTGCGACTTCCGCACAGGATGTGTAGATATCAGCGGTCGATGGGTCGTTCTCAGGAACCAACAATCCAAACAACGACACCGAGATCATCTACAGAGGAGTGCCAGGAATCCGCATCCCTGGTCTCAGCGTGAAAGTCCAGGAGAGCAGGCTGCTCACCACAATTAGATTGCTCACCTTGAACCGTAAACCCTTGAACCCGAAACCCCGAAATCCAAAACCCTAAACCTTCATCGGTCTTTTGCCCCTCCCCCCGCCACAAAATGACAGCCGAACCTGGTCCCAGGATTTGGAAGGTACTCGAGGGCAACAGCAACAACATCATCAAATGGAATGGCACATCGATATTTCTGCTGGAAGGCTTCAAGATGTATCAGCTCAAGGACACACTTCAACAGTCAATGGAATTTGGGATGTTCGCCCTTACACTAACGCCCCTTAATTGGAATTAATGGGGGTACTATAATCCCATTCAGGACTGTTAGTAGAATGGGGAACATCGTAAAATGGAAAGGTTACAGACTTGCAGACCGCCAGGATTTCCCTTTTGACCGTCACGTCATCCGACTGCAGAATCTGGACTTCGTATGGAGAAGCTACAAAGATGATGACGATTTCTTCGACTCCATGAAGATTGCACCTTGCTCTGAAGGAGCTGATGGCGTAACTAAGTTGCTGCTTATACTCGGAAGCATTATTTAGTGGAGTGGTACTGTTCAGCCCATGCCTCCTGTTTTTTGTGTTCGCCAGCTACTTGGAGCGCATTTCTGTGCGACAAATTCGCACAGGCTCTCTTGTGAGTCTTTTGCACTGGCTCAGGTGTGGCTACAGATCGAGTCAAAGTCCATTCTACCAGAATGGAAGCTTGGCAGCACTTGGCACCATGACTTGGACCAAGTGTTACTCAAAACCTGAACTTCAAGTAAGGTGAAAGTTGCCCTCCTACCATAATTACTAAAGGTTTAGGGTTTATGGCACCCCAAGCTTTTTCAGAGTCAAGATGTTGAGGGCCTTGTGGGCTCCTGTTTATAGGCAGAAGCACGTCGATTCTCGCTGTCGCGATTCTCTTGATTTAGGGTTTAGAGGGTTTAGGGTCGTGCGCCTGGGAGGAAGAGACGAAGCAAAATGTTAACACTCTTGCCTTGCGACTGTGAGAAGCTCGACCTTTCAACAAGAACCTAAGTTGTAATGGCGTGTGTACACAACTCGTAGATGTTTAGACACGTGACACAGAAGGAGATTCTGCGAAGTCAAATGAAGAGAAGAAAAAAAGCGGCTTCCTGTGGCTCTGCGCGTTGCCAGTCAGAATGCGTGCGCTCTCTCTCGCTCTCTCTCAAGCCCTGAGCCCTAAACCCTAAACCGGCTTTCTAGATTGTCAGATGGGCTGTGAAACGTGCCGGAGGGGTTGAGAAGCTTCGTTGCCTAAACCCAAAAATCGCATGCTCTGGGTCCTAGACCTTTCCCATAACGCCACGAACGGAGAAGCCTTCGAACGCCACGAAGAAAAGACGAAAACACATCAAGCACAACTTCTAACCATGTCAACCATGGCTCCTGAGGATGTTCCTCTTATTCTCACAGTCCTTAATAGGATTATAGTACTCCCCCCCTCTATGATAGACCCTATTAAGGACTGTTAGTATAAGGGGAACATCCCAAATGGTCCCCTTTAGATTTCACAGCTGTGCGGGTCTTGGGCACGATGCGCAGACGAGAAATCTGGAATCCATGGAAGTCCAGGAAGCTGTTGACAGCATCGGTCCGTCATGATTCTCGAAAGAAGCATAGTTGGGTCAGTTATCTTGGGGAATCCGATTATAACGAACGGAGAACTCTAAGCCCTAAGCCCGAAAAAACCCCAAGACCCTACTAAAACCCACATGGCCCCTGAAATTCGAGAGCCCCCCCCCCCCCCCCCCCAGATGCCCCCAAAGACGCAAAGGACGCCAGCTGGGCCTCTCATTGAGCCCCTCCAGAAGGTGGATTGGAATGACCCACAAGCGAGTCAGCCGCGAACTCAGCTGTTAGGTTTTTAGGGTTCCGGGTTCAGGGTTCAGGGTTAGGGTTTAGGGTTTAGGGTTTAGGGTTTAGGGTTTAGGGTTTAGGGTTTAGGGTTTGGGGGGCGGCTTCAGGGTTGAGGTTTTGGCTCAGCCCCTCAACCTCAGCTTCTCCATGCCACGCTCCAGATTGTTTCAATTTGGGGCCGGAGGAGGGGGGGGGGGGGGCGGGAGGGTTTAGGGTTTAGGGCTTAGGGCTTAGGGCTTAGGGCTTAGGGCTTAGGGCTTAGGGCTTAGGGTTTAGGGTAGGGTTTAGGGTAAATTATGGTGGGGAGGGGGGCCTAGCAAACCCCAGACCTCACATCATAGACCCCCCCCCCCACCCTAGGCTTCCACATCATTTCTCAACATGCCTACGAATTCAACCCTATACCCATTAGATTGATGGCACGTTCGGTTATTCATCTGGTTTTCATGAAAAGCAACGATCAAAGAGAATAGTACGTGCAAATGCACAAATGCTCTGAATGAAGTAAATACGTGTAGCCGAGAACATCTACTTTTCCATATTTAAATGAAGAGGAAAATAAGGTCAATCACGTAGGGTATATATTGCTCCGGACGTTGAGAGAAGAATGCCGAAAGAATGGGATGGGCGCAATAGCAACAGGTAAGAAAGGGGACAAACGCCTACAGTATTGTAAAGCAGCAGTAGCAACACACGGGGCAGTACAGCATTTGATAGGAGAATATGAAGGTTTTGGCGATTTGGTTGAAACAATGAAAAATAAATGGCCAGAACGAAAGATAAATTACAAGTTTAAACATGAAATTAATGGAAGTAATATTCGTAGATAGGATGATTTATCAACTGGTGCTAGTGGTTTGAGATATTCTTGAGGCTCCTTCGTTTTGGTATGACAAGACTTGTTTGTTTTTTTCACAGAACCACAAGGACATTCTAGCTTAAATGAATGCTCTTGCCAATACTTCTTCTAAGTGTCTTTGTTTCATTGGTATTCTTGTTTCATGCCCTTTGTCTTCTCAGGGCTTTTGTTCCCTAATTCCTTCAGGTAGAACGTTATTTCACTATGTTTTCATAGAACTGCTTACTTCTTTTTTATGTTTGGCTATTGTCTCTACATAGTATTCTTTCTTGGTTCTTCCTGCTACTGAACAGCTCAATGTAGCAATGTCCCTGGTTATTTCACAATCTTTTTTTCGCAGTTCTTCCTTTGAATTTCACGGGCACAGCTCAATATCTCTATCTAAAGATGCTCTTCGCCCAAGTTCTCTCATTTTCTGAAGTTGACATATTTTGTAATTATAGGACTCTTTACAGGTGATACCTCGTTTATGCCAGAAAAAACCTTTGCTTCACGATTGCGTTGTTGATCATACACATCTTCATCATCATCATCATCAATGGTGTTTCCAATGCCATAGATCTTGCCATCGTTATAGTCAATTTTTATCTGTACTATTCTAGTACCTGTATTATCTATTCTTCAAATACCTTAAATTTGGATAATTACTTTGCGGAGGAGCTTTTATAGAGCGTCTCCAATAATGAAGATTTTTGGCACACAAACTAAAATGGAAGCCCAAACAAAATAGACTCCACAATATTCTGGTGATATTGGATGGTAAAGCAGATGCTCCTGAAGTAGCACGACATGGCAAATCGCTATATAGTTGGGGTCGTCAGGCAGGTATTTCTGTCGTAGCATCATCACAAAAGGCATTTATTCCCAGATGGCGGCTTGAAAAATGGCGTGATCAGACATGCTCCCCCAACCGTGGAAGCCTGTCAGACTCTACCGCATATGATTTTGAACAGTGTCCTTGTCAATACATCCATTTCCAGCGATGTCAAGAGATCCTGGCCGAAACATCATCCGACCTGCGGCAAACGTGCATGGCTGGCCATTGCACCGTACAATTGCACAATCTTTGGCGTCGGATGCGGACACTGTGTCAGTCAAACTGACCCTGTCTCATACAACTTTCAGAGCATAGACTCATGCTTCAGGTCGTGCGCAAGAGGAAAGGAGTGCCGCTTACCTTTGCCCAGAGTGCGTGAAGCTTAACTTCGCAGCTCGCACTCTACACGCATGCGTTCCATATCCTCTGGCTTTGCAATACATTCTCGCCCAGGGAAGGGGCTTCTACTTCTCCCCCGCCTTCACGTCACGACTCACGACCAGAGAGCGCATGATCACCAGTGCGTTCCAGACCCATTCGATGAGCGCTGGCACAAGCGTGCCACGGAGAGGATGCTTGAGGAGTTGGGGGGTTCAACTTCAGAGAGCACAGACAAGACCATCTGCGGCCTGCGTGACCAGGTTCCCAGAGTAGATCGCTTAAATCTGGCCGGGACAATCGAGACGCAATACGTGTGCAAACTTTGCTGCGTACGTCAAAGCTGTGAAGCTTCCGATCGTCACGACATGCAGGCCCCGTTGTGAGATTGACTTCAAAATCGTCTTTATAAACGCAATATACAATCTGTGTGACATGATATGTAGCTCAAATCATCGCATGATTAATTTAGGCGGTAACTGAGCGTGAAATGAATGCTATAAGATATTGTCCTACTTGTAAGATATGTAGAAGTCATGTAGCGCTTGAAAGCCTCAACAAAAACAAGAAGGCTTAAACCGGCGGATTTGTAAGAGGCAGTGCCTCGTACAAGTTATATCCAACTCTTTGCAAGGGCTCTAAGCGCAACTTTTTAAAATCTTTAAAGTTAGAACTCATGGAGAAAAGACTCATGGTAATTCTCGCAAATATAAAACAATTACTAAGCCAATGGATAAAGACAGTGATGCTTGCAAGAGTCATTTAGATACCAAAGTAGATGTTGAACATTATGAGATTGAATACGATGGCGACAGGCGGCTATATTCTGTAGTGCTGTGCTTGGCAAGAACTATATTTTTCAAAAGCACATGTACAGCGTTGGGAACTTATATATCCATATAAATGAATGACAGAAGTTCTGGATATACAAGCAAACAGCGACTTGAACCTCGCAAGGACTGAAGTTATGGAAGCCTTAACTGGTGTATCGTATATGGAAAACAATTGCACGACCATGGTTTATGTAAGGGACGGAGAATGTTTGTTGCCATTGTGGATGCGAGGACACCAGACGATTTGAGAAGAGAAAAGCAACAAAAAGAAAGAGCTGATTTCATTCTTCATAGAAATTCTTCCTTCACCTTGGGGTGGCAAATGCTGTGTGAGGATTCTACCGAGGCGGCGTAGCCCAGTTAAGGGATATAATCTCTGGGGATGACCTCAGACCTCTTGAGGATAGTGGTTATAGACTGGGCCAGGTTGTTTAGGTGTTTTTGTTTTTGGACTGTGCTGTAAGTACTGTATTGGTTGTGGTGACTTGCTTTGTTTCTGGGTTGTGTTATTTGGAAAGGTTGAGTTCGTAGGCGGGTTGAGACAAGGTCTGGAAGCGTAGGGGGGTCCATGACGTGATCCCTGGGGTTAGCACCTGCTTGATGCCCTGCAAGGGTTCCTGTTCTAATACGCCCGTTGCATTGAGGTTTAGGGCTTAGGTTTCTGACGTGGAGAACTGGCCATTTATCATCCTTGAAGCTTGTAAAGTAAGCCCTAAACCTTGGGATGTTCACCCGGAGGTCACAGATGGTCATCGTAGGGTGCGGGGTTTGAGTTGGGATGTTCTCCCTTATACTGACAGTCCTTCATAGGGATCATAGAACCCCTACGATAATCCCTATTATGGGCTGTTAGTTGAAGGGGAACATGCCAAGTTTGGGGCCTCTTCTGCGGGGGTTCCTAGAAGGAGGATTAGAGTATTTGTGGGTGGCAAAAAACAAAGCGCGCTTGTTCGTCGACGTTGCGGACATACCGACTTCCTTGGGAACCACATGAACCCTAAAATTGGGAACAAGAACCCTGCACGACTCTAATCCGTTAATCCCCATCTCGACATCTGTACCCGAGGCTATCACCAGATTGGGAGGAAGAAGAGGCAGACTTTGCGAACAAGTGGCGGCCTCAGCAATCGCCCACTGAGACAAAGTCCAGCTACTGTAGCTTTTGGCTGATTTGCAAGCTGTGGAATGGTTGCATGAACTTTGTTCCTTGTGGTATTCTTCTATGTGTTAGTTCTCGAAAGATGTGAAGTCGGCTCAGTCCATGCTTTAGTGCAAGTAGCAGCAATCAGTCAAGGAACACACAACGATGCAGGTAATGGCACACGGCGTGGGTGTGTGTGTGTGTGTGTGGGCGTGTGCGCGTGTTTGTGACCCTAAACCCTAAACCCAAAACCCTGAACCCAAAACCCTGAACCCTAAACCCGTAAACCCTAAACCCTAACCGTTAAACCCTAAACCCTTTGGTTCATGTAGTCCACAGCAAGCCTGGAGACCTGGAATTCCGCCCACGGGCTGTCTACGTTCGTTTAGACTCCAAGTGGGGGGGGGAGGGGGTTTAGGGCTTGGGGTTTGGGTTTTGGGGTTTAGGGATACCCATTCTGGGGTCCCTTCTTGGGGTTTCGATTCTATTTGGGGCAGAAAAGGGGGTACCATTTTTGGGGAAATGCCCCAGATGTGTCGAGTCTACTCAGGATGGAAACATTGTCTTGCTGATGCTGTTGCCGCATCAAAACTATTTCGCATCTCTTCACGAATGAAATGAGGAAATCACCCACAGGTTTGATGGTTTACAAGGTTCACGACAAGTGGAACAGAGGAATGAAACAGCAGAGAGTGCTCTGCAAATGCAGAACGGCAATGGTCGCGCAAGTGGCCAGGATCAGGACCCAGAGTTCAGGGCTTGTGGGTATCGCATCCACTGTGTATGGTATAGTTCTTCGATGACGGTTTCTGCTTGAAGCTCACGACATGAAACGATTCATTGGCAGTCAACACAGACAACCTGCTGTTGCTGAAGTTGTGCTTGTTCCCTGCACCTACACCCTAAACCCTAAACCCTGGACCAGGAAGCTAGCAGCTGAGGTTTCAGATCGATTTGAGGATCGAGCGGGCGCACAAGTTCTATGTGCGGCAAATTCTTTTTGTGACCTACCTGAGCTTTAGCGGCAACGAGAGGGGTTGCAGAGGAGGTTTCCTGGCCCTGGGTGTACAGCCCCAAACCCTGAACCCTAAACCCTAAACCCCAAACCCTAAACCCAAAGACTTGGAAAGCCGAGGATCACTCTGACGTCCTGTACACCTCTGTTCATGCATCCTGAGGATATGGGAGACAGGTCTCTCGGCCTCGTCAGCACATCACAAGATTCAGAATATTTAGGGTTTTGGGTTTAGCGCTTAGGGAAGAATACTCAGAACTTTTGAATAACAAGATGTGCAATAGTAGCAATGTTGCAACATTTTGTAAGCATATGGCTCATATGGCGCATAGTGCTTGAGGTGCATGAGTGCTTGTGTGATCTTGCGGTTCCAACGCAGTTCACGTTGGGAATCGCATGCATGGTGTTGTGCTCTTCTGGTCCCAGAAGCTAGGCAAACGAGTACGTACCCTACTCCTTTCTGTTCAAGAAGTTGGCTGTTGACAGAGACCTCACCCTAAACCCGAAACCCTACACCCTAAACCCTAAGCCCTGATATGGCGATGCTGTTCACCCCGCGGAGGCTGAGTGTCTATGGTGGTGGCCTGCTGACTTTGGTGGCCTTCAAGTACGGGGTCATGGACCATCTCCCCAGTGTACCGTACTCGACCTTTACGGATTCATACTTGTTCCTCCAAGCGCACTTGGTGCGACTTTTTTTCTCAAAACACATGGCAATGCACGGGTTGGATGGACCTTGTTCGAGTTCTTTTTTGGTGCGGCGGAAACCGCATCCTCTTGCAAGAGCATCGGCTGAGGCTATGGCAGATGGTGACCATAACCATGTGTACCCTCGAATCGCTGATCGCATATCGCCTGAAGGACTACAACCAGGACGCAGTTTACTTTGGACTTAGATGTACCTGCTGCCACTGGTGCATCGCCGTTGCAAAGTCTTACCGGTCTGTTGGCAAGGCACGGTCACAACATGTTGAGGCTCTACAAAATGGAAGAGTCTTGCAGGAGCTGGTCGACTGGATCGAAAACATAACATTCTTCTCAGCCGCTTGGCTACGCGTAAAGCCAGCGTTTTTGCACTCGTCAATGATGCTGATATCGTATACGTTTCCTTTATCCCAAGTGGACAGGGTCATTGTCTAAAAAAGAAGAAGGAGCAGCCTAACCAAGCCTTACTTACCCTGGTCATCCAAAACCTCATACCAGGATTGAAGACGCTCTGAATTTCCTGCGCTGTGTGAACGTTGCATGCCAGAACTGCGGCCCGAGATCGTAGAAGCTTTGATCCCAGCCCTTCTCGCAAGGGATGCAAGCTCAGCTTGTGCGGGCGATAGAGAGATATTGCCTATCCCCCCTTTGCCACCTGATATCATTAATTTTATACACGAGAAATATACCAAAAACAAAAATATACATATATATATATATATATATGTATACGCTATCATTTTTATATAATTTTATATATAGAATAGCGTGATTTTCTCAAAAGGACAACCGAAAAAAGGGTCCCCGAAATTTGAGCAATTGTCCAGACGCAACATCTTTAGGCTGTCCTGAAGCCTTCAGCCGAGAGTCGTTCTGGGCCATGCAAACGGCCAGCCGTTTAACATGCAAGTCATGCCGAACACCCCTTTAGGGTTTAGGGTTTAGGGTTTAGGTTTTAGGGGTTAGGGTTTAGGGTTTAGGGTTGACCTTGAGAAGTGAGACGACACGTTTAAGCCGCGCCTCAAGCATGCAACAAAGCCCCGAGGTCGTTGCAATCTGGACACTGACTCTGATGATGGTATGGTGCTGCAAGCCGCGATGCAGAAAGGCATGGGATGATGTGTCCGAGACACCCGGCAGGCACTACGCTGACTCAAGAAACCCATATGGGCATTTCCAAGAATAGTTGGGGTACCCTTACTATACCCCAAAATATATCAGCCCCCAAAAGGGCACCTCTATATTTTGGGCAACTCTCACGGGGTCGACAATCCATACCCCATTGCAACATCTGAACCATCTGGGGCCGAATCTGGGGAGTGTTTCACGTGTGTTGGGCGGTGTTCGGATTGATTGGCACGCTGCCCAATTTCTGGAACCATTATCTTGAACTAGGCAAGCAGAAGATGATACAGGGCTTGGTGGGGGGCATGTCCAGGCAACATGAGCATGTCGGAATATGCCCGGTGCTGGCCGGTGTCGTGTAGTAGCCGTAGTCCTGCAAAAGTTGCGCACCACTCATCCGTCGCCCGAACAAACTTGCTACTAGTAGGTTGAAAGCAGGGCTTCTGCAGCTGCATCCTTGCTTTACATGTGGGGTTCGGGTGCCCCAACAAGGGGCCGTAATCGAGGGAGCTGACCATGTAGCTTTCTTGAGTCCGTATACATCCTCGTCCATTGTTGTGTGTCAAACTCTCTCTGTGACCATGAGGAATCTTGGCTTTCTTCTGGCTGGCTCTTAGGACTTTAACCTCTTGGGTTTTTCTAGAAACTACAAGAAGGAGCCCAAAAGTTAAACTTCTCGGCGAGCTTCAGAAGTCAGCCAAGGAATGACGATGACCCTATGAGGGTACCCAAGAACTTGCCTTCGTTCTTTTCACACAGCCGCTTGGCCCAATGGATGCACTGGCAGCTGCAATCGCCTTTCCTTCTGCCTACTTGCTTTGCCGCGCTTTTGGGCATCTTGCTTGTTTAGGGTTTTTTGGCCCCCAAAACCCCAAAATCCCTGAACCCGAAGACCCTAAACCTCTAACGCCTAAAACTCAGTGCCAGGTGAGTTTCGCCAAATCACATCTCCGAGTCGAAAGGAACGGACGTGAGGCTCCACGGGTCAAAGTTGGAGCTTTCGGCGATCGCAGGATGCAATTGGATGCAAATTCAGCATTGATGGGCCAGCATTTGGCCTCAAAATGCTTGGCACTCTGCTCCCTCGAAGCTGGTGAGCATTGGTGAGGTTTTTGTGCATGACTCGTCTCGGTGAAACGTATCATTGACCGTGAGAGGAGGGGTCAGGCAGTCCTCGTGCCGTTTCGGATGCCGGTTGCCACCCCCTCCCCGGCTTTTTGTACAGCCATGCGAGGCGAATACAAAAAAGGCCCCGAACATCCCTAAGCCCATGAAGATGATATATATAATTTAATGCATATAGTATGTAATATAAGTCAATATCCATATCAATATCAATATCAACATAAATATAAATGTAAGTATAGGTATAAGCATAAATGTATATATAGAACATACACATACATATGCATATATGTATATATGTATATGTATGTATGTATATGTGTGTATATATATATAGTTTTATACACCGGATGGTCACCTCAAACTCAACCCGAAACCCTTACAGGCGAAGCTTCAGGGGAGCTCCTAGCTGGTTGTGTTTTCACAACAGAACAATACAACAACTTTACGAACGAAATCATACCCAAATAATCATGACATGATATGCGAATGAGCATGTATCTATACATTTGCGCACCGCGGGCCCACCCTCATCCCCTCTCCCCCCCCCCCCCTTCCGCGTCGCCTTTCTCTTGCATGCTTTCTTGATCAGTTCTGTTGCCATAGCTTCCCCATCTCTTGCTGATGTGACCTTCAGCCGCTTCGGCTGCAGTATCCGGTATTGGACCAATGGACAATCGCGTTCTGGAGCTCAGCGCACCTTACTGGGTCATGCCCTCACATTCTCATGTGGATTCATTAGGTGCATGTTGATCTCTTGGACATTCCTAGAAGCACCCTGTGGCTGAGGCTGCAGCAGATATCTCTAGGGCGGTTGCATTTCATAGACAGGACTGACAACGCTGCGGACGCTGCATGCCATCAGACACCGATCGACTTATGACTGTCAGGACGAAGGCATCTTGCATGTCCAAAGTTGAAGGTCCACCCGATGAAGAGGCGTTGGACGGACATGTCTTCGGCAAACAGAATTTCTTTGAAATGTTTCTACTGCTATATTGCTATATGTGTATATTATCGTAGATTTACATTACTATATTGCCGTACTCCTATACTACTATATTGGCATATTCTTATATGAATAAACGAATGTATTGGCATTACTATACTTAGACAGTCATTTATGATGATATTCTTATGTCATGATATTGTTATAGTGGTATGCTCGCCAGGTGACTCCAGAAAATGGCAAAGCCGACCTGCAGGCCCGGGTTAGGCATGCTTTACCCGTCTGACTGACTGCAAGCCAAAGCCCTCAACCCTGGACGGTCTTTTAGGGTTTAGGGTTTAGGGTTTAGGGTTTAGGGTTTAGGGTTTAGGGTTTGCCCAAGCTGGCTTTGAGGTTGAGTCCTGACTGACATTCAGCCCAGGACATCATCAATCAAGTTGGCTTGGGCCCAGCGCAGATCTTTTGGGGAGTCCTGGGGGGTGGCATTTGGCTTGCGGATGGCGCAGAGCTACTTCTGGTCAGTTCGGTGACGAGGCGAGTACTCCCTAAACCCTAAACCCTAAACCCTCAACCCTAAACCCTAAACCCTTTGTACGGCTGCGGAGCTTGGTAGAAGTGCTGGATGTGCAGGAATACTCAATCAGCACGTGTGTGCCTGCCGACCGACGTTCGGTTTCAGTTCTTTTGCAAAGTGCCTTTAGGGCGACGATGTTTGCTGCTAGCAGCTATGTTTGCGCCGAAAGGCAACGCAGTGTCTAGACGCCGAAATTATGAGGAAACTGCGAAACCTGTTTGTGCCCCGACAACGGACACAATTACATTGTTGCATGATTAGATTTTGACGCTTGTACATTATTGCATGACTACATTAGTACATGGTTACATGAGTACATTATTACATCATTTTATTGTATTACATTATTACATAATGGTTTTATCACAATGTAGTTTTTTATTTTTATTTTTATTTTTAAATTATTTGTCTTTGTACCAGTACGTCGTTTTATCACTCACTAGGTTTTTCATGCTACTATATTCGTATATACTATTGTCAAGCTATTGTCTTCGTATATACTTATGTAGTTATTTCGTCATAGGGTTGCACTATGGTATTACTATATGACTATATGGTTATTCGATTACATTACTTTGTTAATGTATTCTTATATTGTTTTCTTCTATTGTTATTTCATGATGGACTCATCACATTTTTCGCTCATCCCCACGCAGAAGTTGTGGAACCTCGAAGGATGGGGTGGGGGGTGTCCGGTCACCCGGTACAGAGGCCAGACGTGGCGGGCACAGCTGAGAAGCTCCATCAGCACCTAACTCTGGGGTAAACAAAATCTGGGATGCTGACCCGAAACCCTGGTGCCAGAGTGATGCGGCACCTCCCAGTCAAATGGCGGCTTTGGGCACGTCCTTTTGATGGAGCCAGCGGAGTTGGCACGACCGATTCATGAACCTCACGGGGTTGGATGACATTTCACAGATTCCGACGGATGTCAAAGGGATCCGAGCAACAAAACAGCATTTGTGCTGATATATACATATATATATATACAGCCCACCCTCATGCCTTGCAGTGTTTGGAGCTTACGCCTCTTTGTGGCGCACAAGCTGAAGTGCATGCAAAACCAATGCATTCTTGGATGCTGCTGCGAGGTCTTTGCAAACCGAGTGGCATTTGACGTCGTACATGAAAGGTATAATCGCAGCTTGCAAAGTTTCAGCATTTTGCAGAGTGGGACGGAGGGAGAGAGGGAAGGGTTGCGGTGACGAAGACGGACATAGGGAGGGAGAGCGAGAGTGGGAGAGAGAGAGAGAGCGCGAGAGAGAAAACATAATTGTGGGGCTTCTTGGGCCGAATTCGATCCAGCATCATGGCACTTGAAAAGGTCGGCAACCCCCGACGGAGAGACGGAGAAAGACAAGGAGAAGTAGGATGAAGATAGCTTTGGGGTCATCTTTGGCACTGAGGTTTCTGCAGTGTACCTGGGAATTCTCATAGGCAACTATATAGTCCTTCTATAACTAAGATAGGCAACCATACAATCCCTCTATACCCTTGAACCAAGGTGTCTGCGGTGTACCTGGGAATTCTCATAGGCAACTACTCAAGTGGGCCTTTTAGCCAGCGCTTTGGCCGACGAGAGATGGTCATTGCCTCGTCCCGGGCCCAGTTGCTCCAATCGCTTGCAAGGCACAGCACTCCATCGGGTTTAGGGTTTAGGGTTTGCCCTTCCATTGTCGAGCAAAGGTGTGGTGCAAGCGCCTCTTGCTTTGAAGCTGCCGAGGTATTCCGGCATCTTCCTTTGTGGAATCTTGAGCTGCGTGAGTGCTTCTGCCTTGGAATTTCTGGCCATCAGATTCGTTGGTGGCTTCTTCATCGGTCTAGGCCGCTTCGAGTAGTGTCGGATCTTTAGGATTTTGGGTTAGACAGGTAATATGATATTGTACGAATAGCACGGCATATTGAGTCGCAGGCTTATATAAGACAGTATCACTAAGGTACTATAAATTTCTACTAGGTTTAGGGTTGGGATGCTCCCCCCATACCAAAAGTCCTTAATCGGGATTACAGCAAAGGTATTGTAATCCCGACTAAGGAGTGTGAGTTTAAGGGGGGACATCCCAAGTTTAGGGCGAGACGTTCTGAGATGGAGAGGCTAAACCCTAAACCCTAAACCCTAAACCCTAAACCCTAAACCCTAAACCCTAAACCCTAAACCCTAAACCCTAAACCCTAAACCCTAAACCCTAAACCCTAGAGAGATGGCGAGGCCAGCCTGCCTGGCTCGCAATCAGCTCCGAAGTTACCCCGCCTGCATGGAGAATCTCCATGAGTGCCTGCACCCAGTCCCTCTTCGTGTTTGGCGAGCTGCGGCCCGGATGAACTCGGGGTTTAGGGTTTAGGGTTTAGGGTTTAGGGTGTAGGGTTTAGGGTTTAGGGTTTAGGGTTTAGGGTTTAGGGTTTAGGGTTTAGGGTGCTTTAGCCTTTTTCAAGACTTTGTCCTGCTTGCTTCATCTGAACAGTTTTGGGGCAGCCAGTCCCGGAGACGACAACTCTGACCAAAAAGTTGGGCATTGCCGCTTAGAGGCTGCTTGTTCTTGGAGGTTTTCGGGTGGTACAAAGGTCTAGCTACCTCGGTCTAGTCATTGCTGCAGTCTCGCCGATGTTTGATAGGTATGTTTCCTTCGTGATCATGATGGACGACATGACTATGCAGGCAATCGCCAGCCAACGAAGCATGATCTGAATTCCGGGTGTTGTTGGAACGGAGGTCGGTCAGCGCAGCTGGCAGGAAGGTCGAGGTAGAACAGTGAGCAATAAGTTTAAATGAGTATATTAGAGTATAAGCTTATGCAGCATACTCTGTCGCTTAGTAGCACCAAAAGCTTTGTGCAGCCACCAGCCACCTCACCCCTGTATGCCCTGTGTGTCCGAGCTTGGAGGTTCATGGTACTCATTAACCGCCATATTAGGGCACTTGAGGGGGCTTATAAGTGGGTTATAAGTACAGTTAGAATTGGTTCATAAGAACCCTAAACCCGAAAGCCTAAACCCTAAACCCTAAACCCTAAACCCTATGGGGTTATAAGTGCAGTTACAATTGGTTAATAAGCACCCTGAACCTCCAAGTACCACTGCCAACAGGCGCTGCATTGGCGCGTGCTGCTGCGGCTTTGTGCGCTGCCATCCCTCTGTCTGACAACTTTGAGTTGCGCGGCGGAGTTGGGCATTAAGGGTTTATAGGGTTTAGGGTATGGACCCCTGAACCTCATTTGATCGCTTCGTGCAGCGCCGCACACGTCATCAGTGCTGGGGTGGTCCCAAGGACCAAGGAGGGTCTTCAACCCTAAACCCTAAACTCCGCGCTGGTCATATACAAAACTGGGATGATATACTGGGATCCAGGTCGGCGTTTGCAACTTCAAGGGGCATGCCATTCACCTTTATATGGCGGCAAAGTAAAGCAAAATTTAGGGTTTAGGGTTAGGGTCAGGGTCTAGGGTTATTTAGAGTTTAGAGTTGGGTTTTTAGGGTTTTTTGCTTAGGGTTCATTAAGAGTGCGGGGCTTTCAGTGAAGAAGGTAGCCCACTCGGCAAAGAATCGTAGAGAGTCTGGCCAAGGCATGATCTACCTCAACGAGTCGCCCGTCTTTCTGGCACAGAAGGGCCGCATCAAGGAAGCCCGGATGGTCGTAGAGACCATGGCCAGGCAACCGGGCCCCGCCTTGCAATTTTTAGCCGCACCTTTGGGCGGGCCGGGGGGGGGGGGTTCCGAAAATTCTTGGGGGGCTTCCTTTTATGTTGGGGGATGCTTGTAGTTGGGAAGCTTTACCATGCGCCTTGAATTAGCCGCCATCCCTCCCCCTGCAGGCAGAATCAGACGATGCCAAGCACGTTGAGTTTTCGGCAGCCGCGGGTGAGACAACCTGATGCATCCCTCCTGAGCCAGATGCGGAGGCAGATGGCTGTCGTCTTTCATAGGTCCTCTTTCGAGACTTGGCCTGCAAGATGGCAACGTGCACAAGCAGTTGTCAGATGGGCACAAAAGATGTTTGGGGTTGAGCCAAGATCATGGCACGGCAAATAAGTTCCCTCCATAGAAATCGCATTTTTGCTGCTGAAGCCCATAGAAGAGAAAACAAAAACGCACGTTCCCACTATGCGCAGCTTTCGAGTATGAAAGCAACTGCTCCGAGCCTCTGAGCCTGCGGGCAAGAGCACACATGCTTGAACGATTGGTCGTTGTCGTCTTTGTCGTCATGAGGGAGCAAGAAGTTTGACACGAGACTCTTCCGCACTGCTAAGTCATCTAAGACTTTAGACCCTAAACCCTGCACGCTAAACCCGAAACATTAGGTGTTGCAGACCAATACGTGAGCGCCCAGTGGAGCTTCTATGCCGTGTTTGCACACGAAGTGTTCTGACCACAAGGTTTAGGGTCCTATGGCCTTTATATAGTACGGCAGCCTTCAAATAAAACTACCCCAGTCTTGACAGCACTCCTCATACCTCTCCGCGCTTTTGGTCAGGTCTGAGTAGAAGTGGAGCTTGTGACAGAACGCGACAGAGTGTGTGCACCAACGGTTTCACTCCGTGGCTTGCTCCACTCAGGTTCCAACACTAGTCTTGATGGGGACATGCTTTACCGTGAACATGATCTACTTTGGCAGCCTCTTCGCGTTTCCACAAGTGCCCTGTCCTGCACCAAGTTTGATGTAAGCCTAAACCCTGAACCCCAAACCCCCAAAACTCTAAACCCTAGACCCACTACGTTGATGTCGAGTTGGCAGGATTTCTGCCTGGGACCCCCCCAGGTACTTCCCACGCTGATGCACGGCCACGCTGCCTCCCAGTTGCTGGTTGGAGCGCTCTGGGAGCTCCCTGGGATGGCGCTCGGCCTCTGGGACAGGGTTTCATGGGACTTTACTTTGGACTTCTTAAGGGTTGCGCCCTTGGGTTTGGGGACCCTTTATCAAAACAAACCCTCTAAGGGAATATCTAGGGCCATATTGAGGACAGGGGCCCTCTTAGGGGCAGATTCTTAAGGGGTCCGTGTAAGACTCCCTAAACCCTAAACCCTAAACCCCAAACCCCAAACCCTAAACCCTAAACCCTAAGACAGTTGGGTTGCAAGTTCTGGAAGCATCGCGGGTAAGCTGAGCCATGATCGCCTCAGGATGGTTGCTGGGCATGTACGCTCCCAGGCGGGTCGATGCTCTTGGGCTTGGGTGCAGGGTTTAGGGTTTAGGGTTTAGGGTTTAGGGTTTAAGGTTTAGGGTTTCGGGTTTAGGTTGAGAGTTTTGAGAGTTAGGAGGTGATCTGTTCTTTAAAGAACATGTGCGCGTGCCGGTTTAGGCCGGTGGTGTTGTGAGGGGCGCGCGGGGGCCGGAGCCCCACCTCCCCGCCCGCTCCCGCCCCTCCCCCCCCCGTCGCCGACCATCAAGGTAATCTCTACCTTGTCTTCTTCTGAGATTCTGCACACTTGAGACTGGCCAAGTGGCCTCTGCTAGGTTTCAAGGGCCCCTCTTTCTGAGCCTGGTAGAAATGTCGGCCCCTACTTTCTTGCTGCGCGTCGCCTGAGCCCGTATCCGTCACATTCTTGGCTGGTGCAACTGTTGTGGAGGCCCGAGCTCTTAAGTAGGGATCGGGCTGTGGTTCAGGGTTTTCGGGTTTAGGGTTTCAGTTGTCGACAGTGGCTCGCAATCCCGTGTACCGTACGCTGCCCAGCGAGGCAACACTACCCGCATGTAAGGGGAGCACTCAACAGACGTTCGAGTAGGGCCAGAGGCCAGCACGCGATAAGGGTGTAACTGGAGATTGGGCTCGGTCCTGAACGATGGAGGTCTTTTGTGTTGTTCTCAGTATCGTCGCCTCAGTTTTGCGCATAAGCGGTAGGGCTCAAGGCTCCGTGCATCGGACCGCCGGTATGCGCGGGACCGCAGGGGTGTGGGATTTACTGGGGTCCGTGTACCTCCCACACCGTGCTCCCCTTGAAGGCCCCAACCCATCCTAAACCCGCCCCAAAACCCCTCTTGGGTAGCTGTGCAGGAAGACTGGCCTCAAGGTCTACCTCACCGCTTTGTCCTGCTACCCGCCCTATCTGGGTACTTGGTGTTTTTGAGAACAGACTAATGCGGGGTCTTGCCATAACATAACGGGTCCCTTAATAGGGATGATGGGATTAGAGTAGGGGGTACTATAATCCCTATCAAGGACTGTTAGTATAAGGGGGGCATCCCAAGGTTTAGGGTTCGTGAAGGGGCCCAGAGGTCTATGGCTTTCACTATGGGGGTCTGGCTCCAGAAGGGGTCCCGGGAGGTCCATGACCAGCGGCCGAAAGAGTCCATAAACCCTCACCCCTTATATGGGTTGGTGGTCGTGGGGTTTCTGTTTCTCAGGGCATATCTTCGGGTCCTTGTTAGGGTATCTAGGGGCAATATCAAGGTCTAAGGGTAACAGATAAAGAGGCCACCGGCCTTTGTAACCTAAACCCTACACCCCAAACCCTAAACCCCAAACCCCAAGCCCTAAACCCTAAACGCTAAACCCCAAACCCCAAACCCCAATCCCCAAACCCCAAACCCCAAACCCCAAACCCCAATCCCCAATCCCCAATCCCCAATCCCCAAACCCCAAACCCGGCCCGCCGTCCTTTGAAGCATGCCAAGCCGACCTCCGAGCCCATGACCCTGACCAAAGTGCTGCAAGCCAGGACCCAGAGGGGTCCCAGAGGCGATCCATTCAAGAACATCCGGGAGTCTAAGATTTAGGGTTTAGGCTTTGGGGTTAGGGGTTAGGGGTTAGGGTTTAGGGTTTAGGGTTTAGGGATTAGGGTTTAGGGTTTAGGGTTTGGAGCTTCGGGAGAAGCTGGACCATGAGGGAGACCATGAACATTTTGAGAGGCCTAAACATACTAAACTCTCTAACCCTAAACCCCAAACCCTAAACCCTAAACGTACCAAACCCGAAACGTACCAAACCCTCTTCCGTCAGGGCCCTGAATCGTGCGACTCGATGGGGGGTCTGAAAGGAGGAGGTGGGTTTTGGGTTTTGGGTGTTTTGGGGAGGTTTAAAGTTTAGGGTTTAGGGATTTGAGAGTTGAGGGTTTTTAGATTTTAGAGTTTACACGGCTTAAGGTACCCCAAACGCCTGAGGGCTGTGGCCTCGACGGATACGGATCCCAATGTTTGGGGGCATCTTCGGGTTTAGGGTTTAGGGTTTAGGGTTTAGGGTTTAGGGTTTAGGAGGGGTACCCCCCCCCCAAAAAAAAAATTGTGGAAATGCCCATGTTGCTAGACCCGAAATCGAGCCAGACAGAGCATTTCTCGAGCCTAGGCTTCCTCCTGTGCTTCATTATTGGTGTCCATGACGAGCGCCTTGGATCTGCGCTATGACACAATGCAACTCCTCAGCGGATCTCAACGCCTAAGCCCTAAACCCTAAACCCTGAACCCTGAACCCTAAACCCGCCTAAACCCTAAAGCGCTCCGAGGCAGTCCAAACTTCTGAAGGCAATGCTTTACATTGGGTATTATGGTGGCAGCCCCAGCAACGCCTGCTTGCTCATGCAGTTGGCCACATGTGGGGGTTTCCGAACTTGGGGTTTAGGGTTTAGGGTTTAGGGTTTAGGGGTACCTTATTGGGGTCCGTAGCATAAGGGAATCCTACTATGTGGGGGTCTATTGCTTGGGGTCTCTTATTTTCGCAGACTCCCATGACTCCCCTGTGGCCTCAGTTCCAGCTCACTGGTCAAACTCCTGCGCGCGTAAAGGCGTCAAGTCCACACCCAACATCGCCTTCATCATCGCCTTCCAGATGTCTGTGGAGCTCTACCCAACGGAGGCAAGTGTTTTTTTGGCAGATGTTCTGAACTCGTGTCGCCGATGCTTGCGTCAGAATTCCATTGTGTGAAAAGATAAGGTTTCCGAAAATAGGGGACCCCGAAAATAGACCCCAAATTGTAGGATCCCCTTAAACAAAGGACCCCAGTAAGGCACCCCCTAATATCGTAAACCCCCACTTGGAGGTTCATGGCAGTTCGCAACCCAATTATCACTGTACATGTAGCCCAATTCTAACCCGATTAGGGTACTTAAGGGGCTCATAAGTGGGTTATAACTACACTTATAGTTGGGTTCCAAGTACCCGAAACCCTAAACCCTATAAACCCTAAACCCTCTGGTTATTAATTATAGTTGGGCCTAGTTGGGTTATAAGTACCCTGTACCCCCAAGCAGATGAAAGGCACGCACCATGGGTTCGGGGCTTTGTCTCGCAAGTGGACGGTCGTGGCCTCGGGAGCAGCAAGAAATGCTTTAGGGTTTAGGGTTTAGGGTTTAGGGTTTAGGCCCTTGCATGAGGGTGGTTGTCAAAAAATCTGGTCCCTTTCTGGATCCCTATGACAATACGGTGATATTTAGGGTACCCCAAAAGGGATCATAAATTTGACAGCCACCCATGTGATGCAAGCCTCGCGTCAAAGCTGCGAACGTGCTGTGTTCGATTGGTAAGATGTTTACTACTCAAATTTGTATCAAAGATACCTCACTTTATGAATATTTATAAATTTCTGAAATAAGCAAGTCATGTTATTAATGCTTTGATTCATATCAATCATATCAATCGTGCACATAACATTGAGAATAATGGCAATATGACATAATATGATTGTCAACAATACTAACTTATAGTCAAAGTCGTTCCAAGACTCAGAAAATCAATAGTATTAATGATGTTAGCAACCTCAATAACACGAATAAAATTGATAACGTTCTATTATTATCATATAGGAAATCTTAATGATATTTCAGTGTTGATCATCTTGGCAATATGGATAATGCTAGCAATATTTGTAATATTCAAAATATTTCTTATGTCGCAGAAAGGGCCGAACACTTCTGGTACTGCATATATAGACAAATCTAGCGATACAAAAGCGACTGAGACTATTGACGACACGAACAATACGAATAGTGCTAATCCTACCTCTCATAATTCTAATACTAATCATGCGAACTCTTGCACTACTAATCTTAGACTTGCTAATGCTACTCTACAAAAGCGAACGATAATTACAATTCTGAAACATACATCCGTACTCACACAACTACTCTATACTTATATTGCATGCTCTGTAGGCTCGCCTGGTGCTCCCTAATATTAAAAATGCCACAACGACCACTATATATATTTGTTTATATATATATATAGATGCATGTATGTATATGTATATGTATATTGTATATATATATATACTCATGTATAACTGTGGGCATTCTCAAAGTTCCGGGGCCAGCGCTCCACGTTCCATAATTTTTTTGGCCCTGACATACTCTTTCCACACTCCACAATTCCATTGTTTTGTGTGGGGAGAGATTGAAGTCGCTACATCTCAGCAAGTCGTAGAACCTGAAACTTGGATTGTGGAAGGTTGTATACAGGGCACAAGAATGCACAAGAAGTGCAGAAACTATAAAATCGAATTATTGGGGCACGCACGAGAGAAATGCGTCACTCACATGTCGTTTCCGTAGCGATCAGCAGAGAACCGTTTTAGCATTTACAATATTTGTATAGTTGTCATAGACTTTTCATGTATCGAGGATTGATACTGTGAATACTGTTTACACAACGGAACCTTTTACAGTACTAACAATTCTTCAGAAGATCAGAATAATAAGAATACCATGACTACTTATTGCATTCAGGGCATTCAGAACATTCAAAATGTTACGAATGTAAGAGCAATTAATGAGAAGTCTTTGTGTAGTAAAAAGAGTAAGAATAGTTGGACTACTAACAATATTACAAGCATTAAGAATGTTATGAATCTTCACAGTATTCAGAAGCCTTATCTGCAACTCTCCTAAACAAGCTGTGATGTCCCTGAAAGCCACATGTTCAGGCACAACCTGGGTAATTACTTGTAACATCTCAGAACCTGCCTTGCTCGTAGCACTAGAGTTTGTCCAAGCGCCTGGCTGCTCCTCGGCTAAACCCTAAACCCTAAACCCCAAACCCTAAACCTTTCGAGGCTTGCAGCGATGATTGCTCCGATGGTTTATGAATGCATCGTTGGCTGGACTGGTGGATTCTTGCCTTTTTTCGTGCTCATGGCTGCCTTCACCGTGGGCAACTTGTACATGGTGGGCACCTGAGCTTTTGAAGGCGATTAGGGTTTAGGGTTTAGGGTTTAGGGTTTAGGGCTTAGGGTTTAGGGTTTAGGGTTTAGGGTTTAGGGTTTAGGGTTTAGATGTTGCTTTCAGCCTGGCGGATGCTTGAATGCTCCGTTTTGCATGCAGACCTCCGAACAGAGGCTGCTAAGAGCTATTCGCACGTAACAGCGTGCCACAAAGATTCTAGCAGGGACACAAAGCAGCCAACAGTGGCCCCAGTATTCCGTGCAAGACGATGAGCTGAACGTGAAGGCTTGTGAGCGTACGGCATCGTACTGCTTCTCTGCTTTTCATGAAGAGGTTCGAGGTCTGTAGACCAATTTGTCAGTGAGGCACCTGCTGGCGCATGACAGCACATGCATGCTTCCATTGTGCGCGGTGCGTATACGCTCCGGGCTGTGCAGTCTGTGCAGGGATCACAAGCATGGCTTGGGCAAGTGAGGAAGATGTGTACTACATGTACTCTACCCGTGTCAGTCGGAACTCAGGTCGACCTGATGCCAGAGACGTCAACCCTAAAGCACGACGACGAGATTTCGAAGGACAAGAAATGCAACCCTGAGCCTAACTTTAGACCCTAGACCCTAAACCCTAAACCCTAAACCCTAAACCCTAAACCCTAAACCCTAAACCCTAAACCCTAAATACACCCTAAACCCTAAACTCTGTCGTTGTTGCTCCCACGTTGCCAGGACTCCCCTGAAAAGCCTGTCCATGTTGTCTGACTGCCTACGAGTGGACCACCCTGGGCCGCCTTGTGCTTAGCTTCCCTGGGCCCTTGACCACACACTGGAAGGGTGCAGGTGGAGCAAGTGTTGGCGGGCAAAAGAATGGAAGACAGCGCTTCGCAGCTTCTGCACAGATTGTCGTCGCACGTGCAGCCATGCGTTGTCTCAGTGCTTCTCCTTTCCCGCCGCGAGTCACAGCCGAGCTGGGCATGTCGTGTGACAGTGTAAGTCATCTTCAAAGACCTTTTTGAAGCAGTTAGCGATACCCGAAGCTGTAGGAAGCCTGGAACTGCGAGGGCATCTGGGCGGTGCTTCGGGCTGCTTGGCGCCATGGGTCAGACAGGTATGCAATCGATCACGTCGCACCCTGAGACATCCTTGGACACCTTTTGCCGGCATGTGTCGCAATGATGCTGCGTGCTGTCTTTTTGCTGTCTTTTGAGCTGCTCCATGGGTCACATGTCATCTCAGCATGCAGACATCCCACACGGGCAACGGAGCGCGCTTGCTTTGCTTGTTTATTGATGCTTTGTTGCCTGGAGAGCCTTAGAGCCGGCAGCCCTGCATTCAGTAAAAGAAAGAAGCCATGTCCAGGCGTCAGTGTCATCAGTCTACTAGGTCTGTTAAGTGCTGAACCCGAAAACCCTCAAATCCGAAGCCCCAAACCCTAAACCCTAGATGGAATGAGCGAGACATGAGGTCTGGAAGCTCCGAGGTTTCAGGCCGCGTTCTGTGAAGCTCCGACATGTCAGAACACCGCAAGTGTTCATTTCACATGTTTGTTGTTGTTCTTCTTCTTTTGGAGGGAAATGGGTTCAGGGTTTGAAAAATTGGGTTGTCGGGTGCACAGTTTCAGGTTTAGGGGCACCCATTTTAAGGCGGGGGGGGGGGGGGTTTCCTATAGGGATTACCTTTTGTCTGTCCTGTTCGGGATTACCCAGCTGTTTGCGCTATTTTCCGTGTGCTGTCAGGCGCAAGCTCAAGCAGAGGCATGCCACCGGGAGTCAGGCTGGAGGAGCGCTCCTTCTGCCTGGCACACGCCAGTAACTGAGGTAGGTTTGGGGGCCCCATAAAACCTCAATGTTTTTGGCGTTACAATCAAGGGTTATATGCAGTACCAAGGGTAATGAACATTAACCCTAAACCCTAAACCCTAAACCCTAAACCCTAAACCCTAAACCCTAAACCCTAAACCCTAAACCCTAAACCCTAAACCCTAAACCCTAAACCCTAAACCCTAAACCCTAAACCCTAAACCCTAAACCCTAACCCTCGTACCAAGCAAGCCGGGCCCCCGAGCACAACAAGCCCCCAGGATTTCGAGGTCCGAAATGTGCTCTTCACCGAGAAGGCGATCCTGGCCTGCCCGCTGCCAGCAAAGGCCTGCCATGATCTTGTCTTAGCAGGGTAGGTTTTGCTTTTGTTGCTATGTCTTTATTACCCTTGGCGCCCCTAATATAGTCCTTATGAACGCCATAAGAATTCAAGTTGTTTTTTCAAATATAGGGCCCCCAAGCCTACCCCAGTTGCTGCTGCAGTTCCAGCCTCAAGTGCATGCCTTAACCCCTAAACCCTAAACCCTAAACCCTAAACCCGAAAGAGTGGACGCAGGCTTGGATCGAGCTTGGTCGGTGGAATCCCCTTTCCTTAGCGCTACTGGCTCCAGCCTGGTGGGAGACCTGGACATGGGGGTTTAGGGTTTAGGGTTTAGGGTTTAGGGTTTAGGGTTTAGGGTTTAGGGTTAGGGTTTTCCGAAACTAGGGGTCACACGTCTGCGGTTGAGGGGGTCTAGCGAGGGACCCAGAGCGGCGGGTGTTGCTTTCAGTTCAGACATGCGCCGGTCGCAATCGTGGAGCTGACCAGACCGCGACGAACAAGTGCTTCAATCAGACTAACCGCTAAGCAGCTGAGCCCACTGGTAGCAAGTGCTGTAGCTTGCAGAAATGCTCCAAGTTCGCAGCAAACCTTCTGGAACAAGATGACAACCAACCGCGGATTGAAACTGAGTTGGGGATTGAGGTCCTACCACATCTCAGGCAGCGCAGACCATTGGTGGTTCGTTGCCAGGACGCATCTGTTCATGTGTGAGCGCATCGCCTCAGGCAATGACCGCACCATGCTTTTTGCAGGAGTGCCGACCGCATGCCTGATGCCAAGACCCTGCTTGCAGAGTGTTTTAGTGACTCTCGTGATGATCACCAGTGTGCCAACAGAAAACCTAACCAAACTTGCCCCCAGAGTGGTGGCATCTGCAACGTGGTGATCATTTTTGCATCTATCAGTACCTACTAGCTCTTAACACAGGTGTGCAACTCACTGCGACAGTAGCTTGGGCCAAGCTTCAAGCCAAGGTACTACTATGCTGCGCAGTTCTGTGTGGACCACGCGGGCAAGAACCATGTCACAGGCACATGCGCAAAAAGCTGTCATCACGGTTCGGCTCAAGCACTGCTGAACTCGAGGCCTCACGTACCTTGGCATGTGGGCTGCCATTGCCTTCGGTCTTCAGTATCCGGAGGATGGGCGCCACCTTGTTCTGAGCTTCTAAGCAATGCAGATGCAGTTGGACCCTAAACCCTAAACCCCTAAACCCTAAACCCTCCTTTTGCAGGCAAAATGGTGGTTTGCTCGAGACTGGGTGCCCTGCAAGCACATTCGCAAGAAGCGGGATCTTGACAGGCAGCGCGATGCAGCACGTCCCTCAACTTGCCTCCCTGCCCTGCGTCTAACCCTAAACCCTAAACCCTAAACCCTAAACCCTAAACCCTAAACCCTAAACCCTAAACCCTAAACCCGTCCAGGCTGTTGCTTGGAAATCCATCGGCGTCATATCCATACTCCTGGATAGACAACAACTGTCAGCACTTCGCCATGAACCTCTACGTGTCGAGCTGAGCTTGCCACCATGTTTTGGCTTCACTCCCTAAGGGTCCATGTACCTATAATAGCCTATTTAGAATATACTTCGGCCTTAAAGGGGTTCCTATTTAGCAGCTCTAGGGCCCACGTATATACTATATAGGTACATGGATCCTTAGAGACTTCATCCCTTACCTACAGGGTCCGAGTACTCCCTTACGTGTGGCTTTATGTCCAGAAATCCCAGAATCCTAAAGGGCTTTCTCCACAAAGATGGGGTATTTGGACCCTCTGGGTAAGAGACAAGGGCAGTGTCCAGAGTTGCCGCCTCTGCAGGCCAAGTGGAAGACCGGTAGCTCGCTCTAAAACACCGAATCAACCCTAAACCCTACACCCTAAACCCTAAACCCTAAACCCTAAACCCTAAACAACTCCTAAACCCTGAAGCCGCGGCAGGAGGGTGATCATATCTGCATTGCCTGACGACGCCTTATCGTGATGGCCCTTGCGGATGCAGTCGTGGAAGCATGGTCTGTACAGGTGTGCACCAAAGAGGGTTTAGGGTTTAGGGTTTAGGGCTGTACAGGTGTGCGCCAAAGAGCCACTTCGAAAGCGCGCTAATGTATTCGTAATGCCTTGGATGAGAGAAGTCGGAGGAGAAGTCGCAGCATTTCAATCGATGCCCAGTTCCATCCAAGTAGATGGAGCTGGAGCGCTGACTTCAAACTCCGATGATGGGCTGCAAAGAACCATAGAAAACCCGCAATCTCATGAGTGCTCAGACGCGCTTCTGTCATCATACGTTGGCGTTCTTCCATTGCATTCCGTACGGCACCTGCTACATGATGCCGCAACCTGCCTCTCAAGCTGTGTGGCAGTTGCCCAGAATCAGCTCACTTCACGGCGCGAGGCCGGATGTGCTTCTTCCTGCTTCTGCCGTAACCATCTCATGCAAATTGCCATCTTTATATGGGGATTTCTGAGATTAGGGGTACCTTATTGGGGTCCTTATTATAAGGGAATCCTAAAAATTGGGGGTCCATTTTTGGGGCCCCCTGCTATCTTCGTAAACCCCCATAAAGACATGGCGAAGGTCAACATGGCGCGCCAGTCGGGGTATGACCGGCATATCACCATCTTCTCACCGGAGGCATGAGCCGATGCTTCAGTTGCCCTAAACCCTAAACCCTAAACCCTAAACCCTAAACCCTAAACCCTAAACCCTAAACCCTAAACCCTAAACTGCTGGTTCCTCGACGTGTCAACAACCACGTCTCAGGGCCGACTGCACCAGGTGGAGTATGCGCTGCTCAGCTGAGAGTTGAGCTTAAGGCTTGCTGAATCCTGTTTAGGGTTTAGGGTTTAGGGTTTAGGGTTTAGGGTTTAGGGTTTAGGGTTTAGGGCTAGGTTCCCTTATAAAGTATAAAAAGGGTGCCTTTATTCTAATATGGTTACTGGGCTACGAAGAAGCACACTCTGAGGTTTCAGGCAGTCAAGAAGAATCAGAACATGACCTCGGTGGCGCTTCGAGGAGATGACAGTGCGACTCCCTTGGCTTCTTTCATTTTCAAGGGCTCAGTTTTGGGTTTAGGGTTTAGGGTTTAGGGTTTAAACGGCTCAGTTTTGGGAGCCTAGTGAAACAAGGGCCCAAGTCTTGCAGCTCTGGAGTCGTTTCACCTTTGTGCATGTGGACCCTGAACCTTGTGAGGTCGTAGCAGTGACTCAGAAGAAGGTGCCAGACAAGCTGATGGACAAGGATTCCGCGTGCAACTGAAGCAAGCAGTTCACTTGGGTAGTTGAGGCCGAGGTAGAATGGAGGCTGTGCAAGTGCTGGTGATGCGTGCCAGTTGGAGGATTTTGGGACGCACCTCTACAACATCACGCCAAACCTCGGCTGCTTGATGACCGGCATGAGTCCAGATGCTCGGGCTTTAGTCTACAGGCCTGGTTGAAGCACTTGGTCAGTTCTCTACATCATGGTCCCTTTCGTGGGTACCCTAAATATTCGGGGCTGTAGTAGACTAGGGATCCAAAAAGGGACCCTTATGTAGAGAACTCACCAAGTAGCTTTGCTGCCATAGTGCCGCTGTTACAAACCTTGCTCTTCTCCATAGACAGCTCCCTGAACAGGGCTCGTGAGATTGCCTCCAAGTTCAAGGACAAGAATGGCTACGAGATTCCAGTCGGAGCCCAAGCGAGTGACGTCATGTTCAGGGGTAGTGCGACGTTGTGCAAGCCTCCTTCTTCGCGTTACCACAAAGTCGGATTCGCGAGTGCTGGCCGAAGGTGATTTCAGCTCTAACTTGTGCCGAAGCATGAAGCATTACTCATGGGTTTCCCTACCCCCTCTATACCACCTCCCCTAGGTTCCCCCCATAGTTAAGGCTATTTAGGGATAATTAAGATGGTTATTTAAGGGGGGAAGCCAGGAATTACCGTAGAATCCTGGACTTGAGGACCTCTGTCAGAACTTAAACATAGCAACGTCAAAGAGCATCGACTGTGACCAGACAGTGTCTGCCCTGTGAGTCACTGACATGTACGGGGTGGGGGTGGGGGTGGTTTAGGGGTTTAGGGTTTAGGGTTTAGGGTTTAGGGTTTAGGGTGGGGGGATCCAGCGCTTCTTTAACGCTGCATTGAGGAACATGCTCAGCCGAAGTTCGGTCCCGGACGGAGGGATTCGCGGCATGGGGTTTAAATGGATTGAATAGAAAATCTTGTCGCAAACGAAGCGAAAATTTCAGCATCGAACCAGTAGCAGAAAACACCAAGATGTCCGCATAAGAATTCCAAGAAGCACTGCACACACACACACACACCACTCGTGCTTTCATTCGCTCAGCCCCTGCCTACGATATTGCTCAAGGTCCTGAGACCAATCTCGAACTTTCGGATGACCTCACGTGCTCCCATTGGGCATCAACCCCTTATGCTCCAAGATGCCTCCAAACTTTCTCAAACCGTTCTTCCCTCCATCTCCGAGGATTGATGGAGTACAGCAACGGGGTTGAGTTTAGAGGGCTCTCTCTTCATGTACAGTGGTGCAGCAATGAGCAATCGTGCCACATTGCAGGAATGCGTGGAATCTCGCTGTCTAATCGAACATGCGCAAAGCTTCCATGACTGCCGCATACCTGCCGACACATTTCTGGACCATGTTCTCTTTGACCATAACTCGTGGCATGTGCTATCCTTCAAAGGTGCACTACCTCGCACTCAAGCTGGCTAACATTGCGCAGGCACTGGGTGGAGGATGTCCACAGCGAACCGGAGCATTCATCAACGGGGAAAGCAGCAGGGATAGCTCGCATGAGACTCGCATGGGTGCAGGGATCTGTGCCCGGCAGGTGTACACACAGCATGCCTACATGCGACCATATGGTGTCAGCACCATGCTGCCTCTTGGCATCGCGTTTAAGCCCCCCTCCCCCCCGAGGATGATACATGCAAACCAGGTTGTGAAGGATGCGCTGGTGGGTGAGAGTAGCTTAGTGACATGGGGCGGTGCGAAGGGTCCAGACGCAGGGGTGAGCATGTCCTAAGGTTTTCCATGGACGACGAGAAGGGCCCGTCACTCTACCAGGCACGGGGTGTGCAGAGTGCGTCAAGTGGCCTGACTTCCGGTTCTTAAAGGGAACTAGGCACCCTTAGGGCGTTCATTTACAAAGGGGCATAGAAGGTATCTGATTCCCTGATTCACTCCCTACTCAGAACCAGAAAGATGTACTCCTGGATATTCCCGGATGGTGGGCCCTATTGCATGCAACCAGAAGTGTAATAAGCTTTGCTTTCTTATGCCTACTGTCAGCAGCACCCTAAACCCTAAACCCTAAACCCTAAACGCTAAACCCTCAACCCTAAACCCTAAACCCTAAACCTAAACCCCTCCTTTGCCTGGCAGATTGATCCTGCTGGTCAGTACTTCGGGTACAAGGCTGCAGCTGCCGGGACCAAGGACCAGGAGGCCAGTTTGTAGAAGGGCTGTTGATGTTTTGGGGTTTAGGGTTTAGGGTTTAGGCGGTTTAGGGGTTAGGGTTTAGGGTTTAGGCCGTTTAGGGTTTAGGGTCCCCCCCAGCCTTAAGGGAATTCTATAAGGTACCTAATTCCCGAATCCCCCTATAATGTAATATAGGTGCCTAATTCCCTATTCCACCTATATACTTACTTCCCTTTAGGGATTCTACAGGGTACTTACGTCCCTACTAAGAAACAGCATCTGGGCCTTCAACTGTGCAGCTGGACGTTGATGCCACGTGAATCTGCTGTGCTGGTCTGGAATCAGGCGCAGAACGCTTTGGAGAAGATTGTCAAGAAGAAGATCCAGTTCACTGAAGCGGAGACGATCCAGCAGGTCTTGGCGTTCTTGTGCACTTTAATCTGAGCGTTGGATGCAGTGATCCCTTCGCAGGCCATCGGATGTCTCCAGGCAGTCATGGGTATGGACTTCAAGGCCGTTGTCTTGCCATGCTTGTTCCGTATTGCGAAGCGAGTACACAGCACGTCTGCCCGGAGTGTTGTGAAGTGATTGTTTTTTTTGCCGCACAGGCCTCTGACATCGAAGTTGGCGTCGTGTCAAAGCCAGTGCCTAAGATCTCATCTGCAACAGGACCCCACTGGTCAGACGATCCACGCACCAGTATTCTAAACAATGCTCAGGTCCCGGAAAGGCTTCTTCCGGCTATCAGAAGCTGAGATTGACGGACACCTGACGGTGGCTTGCCAGCTCTGGGGGCGAACAGACATTCCATGGCTTTCCTTGACTAGGACGCTTCGTAATGCATCACGTGCTGCTGGCCTCAACAGTCAAATCAGTCAAGAGTATGACTGCACTGTCAAACAAGGCTATTGTGGAGAAGGACACGTGAGAGCGGCCAGCGTGCGCGAGCGAATGCCCGCATAAAGTCGAAGACTCTGCGACCCATTGGCAGAGCTAGGCTGGCGTGAGCTTCAAGGATAGGACTAATCTTCAAGGCAGGAACTACCTATACCAGGAGGTTGTTTGTGTACTAGTTGCCCAAAGGAGCAAGTAGTTGTCAGCATTGATGCCCGCCACAGGATGAAAATCCTTTGTCAATTCGGTCGCCCAGCATGTCGTCATGTTACGCACAGGCACAGCGATAAAGACAGGCGACAAAAAGGGATGCTGAAAGCATGGAAGAGACCCTGGATGGCGATGGATATCAGATGTTGCCAGACTTGTATTCCGAGTGTGCTCGAATTTCTGTCTCCGCAGCACCTAGGCACAGAATTAGTTTATTATGAGCTTAGCCGTTCTACGGAATGGCAATCACTCCGTCACGATGCAAGCAGAAGCATCTCTTGAATTCGCGAGCGTCATCACCAGGAGGCTCTGCTGCACGAGTTTTGAGCAGTCACCGGTTGCGACACGACTGAACTTCAGTAAGCTGAGGAAGCTTGGCACCCTAAACTAACCCCAAACCCTAAACCCTAAACCCTAGATTGCGATGAGAGACTTCTGCACTTTTGGACTGTGATGTGCAGGAAGTCAGGGGTGTTTTTGCACAAGCCATGCAGGGTTCCCGCTAAGGAGTCCAAATCCTCAAGCGCACCACGAAACAAATAGCAGCCTGCCTGCATTGTCATGTTTTCCCTGGTTCTCAGTAGGGAAGCAGGGAAGCAGGGAATTAGGGCCCTATATGTACCCTTTAAGGGATTATTATCTAGGGTACCGCATTCCCTACTAAGAACCAGAAAGTCTTTCATTCGTCCAACAAGTGGTGAGGAGATAGCTAGTCAGGGATTGGAGGGCTGAGTCGCGCGACTTCGGTCGCGCTTGAAAGGATTGCAGTTGCCACTGCAAAAGGCTGCGCAAGTAGAAGCTTCCACAGGGCCCTGCAAGTCGATTCCGAAGAAGCCTTTAGGGTTTACAGGGTTTAGGGTGTAGGGTCTAGGGTTTAGGGTTTAGGGTTTAGGTTCTAGGGTCTAGGGTTTAGGGTTTAGGGTGCCATCTGAGCCTCAGGCATTCTTGGGAAAAGCGGGGCGATGGCAAGCAGTGATCGAGTTGCTGCAGAACTTGCCTCGCCGTGAAATACGGCCAGGAGTCATAACTTACAACGCAGCCAGCTGCTTGAATTGTTTGTTTTCCCACATCAGGGGCACCTTGTTGGGGTCCTTGTGATAAGGGAATCCTACTATTTGGGGGGGGTCTATGCTAGGGGTCCCCTAGTTTCGCAGACCCCCGAATTCTAAGAGAGAGCAACCCTACGCCCACGGCCCACGACACGCACTTATGTTAGGGTGGAGAGTCATCATGTTGAGGCACTATCTGCACTTGGCAGTTGTCACAGATGGCAACTGGCACTTTTGCTTCTGGGAGAGATGAGTGCAGAACGCCTTGCTGAGGCCTGGACGTAGTGCCTTTAGCACCCCTTTAATGGTTCACAACCTAGCGTCGCTACTGGCGGCTAGCATGCTAGCTGGCAGCTACCCGGCATCTCTTCAGAACATTGCAAGCCAAGCTGAACAGAAGTGACGTCGCCAGCTGGTCCGTGAACAGGTCCGCATGTTCCATTGGCCTGCTAGTGCCTTCTGCAGGTTCAAAGCTACAGCATCTGCATTACTGCCTGCACTCGGGCAGCTGCCTCCGCGAAGGGCAGAAGCCTCTTTGAAGATCCTCGGCTATAGCGCATGGCTTCTAAGCTTAGCATACCTTCGCTACTATTCCCACGCACTTCCTTCCACCACTTCACTGTATTTCTAATACCTTCTATCCAAGACTAGCTCCCCCAGTACCTGAATGGTAAGAAAAAGGGGTGCCCTTATCATTCAGGAGGATCAGTGACGGCCCAGACACCTGGGAGCATCCAACAAGTAGAACCCCAAAGTAGCACCGTAAGGACACTACTCCTGGTATTCTTAGGAACCCTGAACGATCCTGAACGGAATCTACCTTTTGGATCCTCCCAGGGGTCTGGGTGAGCGAAGGACCCCCCCCCCCGTGGGTGGCTTAAATAGGGTTTATTTGGAAGCTGAGAGTCGTGTTTTTGTGTGGTAGATACAAAGGAAAGGGCATAAGAAAGTAGCGAAAGGAGCTCCTCAATTCCCTTCCTTATCTCCTATCCTTTTTTCTTTATTCATTGCAACAGGAGAATGCAGGAAAAGGGCCTCCATTCCCCTCTTGTTCTTCCTTTCTTGTGTTTTTGTCATTTAAAGGGGAACAGGAGAAGAGAAGGGAGAGAGAAGGAGAGAGGAGAGATAAAAGGAACACAATTTTAATGGGAAGAGCCAAGAAAAGAATAGAAGAGAGATGAACAAAGAAGATGGAGAGACAAAACAAGGCGCAAAGAAGATGGCACTCTTCTTTATCTATCCTCTCTCCCTTCTCTCTCCCTTCCCTCTTTCTTTTCGAAACAGAAAAACTAAAAAGGAAGAACTTGAAAAGGAGAAGGGTAATGAAAAGAGCAGAAGAGACAGGCCGAAAAGAGGGATATGATGAAGTATGGGCAAGGTCCACGCGCAAGGAGTCACCCTCTGCTTACCCTTCCACTGCTTTATCATACAAGTTCCTTTCTTGTGTTTTATTAGTTAAAAGGTAACAGAAGGAGAGAAGGGCAAGGGAAGTGAGAGAGGAGAGACAACAAGGAGGCCATTTGAATTTTCTGGAGGGGTACTGAAAAGAAGAGAAGACACAAGAAACAAGGAGACGGATAGCACTCTTCTTTATCTATCATCTCTCCCTTCCTTGTCTCTCGCTTTTCCCTCTATAATTAAAACAAATAGGTGCCCTCTCCTCTTCAGGAAGCCCCCTTGCCCTTATTTTGCTAGCTTTCTGAAACAACAAGGGAAACAACACATAGAAAGAGAGGAAAGGGAATGAAACAATAGGCAGTGGAGCTCTTCAGTGTCTTTACCTATCTCTTTTCTTCTTTTTCTTTTTCATTCAATAAGGAAAAGAAGCTTCCTTTGGTGTGATTTTGAGATTTAAAAGAGAACAAGAGAAGAGAAGGGAGAGAGAAAGGAGAGAGGAGAGATCAAAAGGAAGCAATTTTCATGGGAAGAGCAATGAAAATCATGGAAGAGAAATGAAGACAGGAGAGGGAGGTGCAAAATCAGGCAAAGAGAAGATGGTGCTCGTTTTCTTCTTTCCTCTCTTTCTTATCTTTCCCTTTCAAATAAAAACAAAAGGAAGAACAATGAACATGTAAAGGAACCCGTTTTCTTTTTCCGTTTGGGAACAAGGAAAAGAACAGAGGCGATAGGGCGAGAGGAGGGATTTGCTGCAGCATGGGGAGGGTCTACGGACAAGGAGCCAACCCCGCTCGCTTTCCCCATCCATTGGAAAAGAAAGGAACATGGCCTCCATTCCCCTCTTGTTCTTCCTTTCTTGCGCTTGTGTCATTTAAAGGGGAACAGGAGAAGAGAAGGGAGAGAGAAGGAGAGAGGAGAGACAAAAGGATTGCATTGTTAATGGGAAGAGCAAAGAAAAGAATAGAAGAGAGATGAATAGAGAAGTGGGAGAGACAAAACAAGGCGCAGAGAAGATGGCACTCTTCTTTATCTATCCTCTCTCCCTTCTCTCTCCCTTCCCTCTTTCTTTTCGAAATAAGAAAACAAAAAGGAAGAACTATGAGAAGGAGAAGGGTAAGGAAAGGAACAGAAGAGATAGGCCGAGAGGAGGGGTATGATGAAGTATGGACCGGTCCACGCGCCAGGAGTCACCCTCTGCTTACCCTTCCACTGCCTTATCACACAAGTTCCTTTCTTGTGGTTTATCAGTCAAAAGGAAACAGAAGGAGAGAAGGGAAAGAGAAGTGAGACGAGATAACAAGGATGCCATTTTGCTGGAAGCGCAACTGTATGTGGCCACAACAAGCAGGCCAGGGAGGCTCAGGCGGGGCAAGTCTCTCCCTAATTAGAAAAAATCAATCTTGCTATTCACAGGTAGGCGCCCTTCTTCCTCTTCAGGAAATCGCCTTTCCCTTATTTTGCTTTTTGAAGCGAATAAGACAAACAACAGATAAGAAGAGAGGACAGGGAATGACTAGGTAAAGAGAGGAGCTCTTCAATTTCCTCCCTATCTCTTAAGTTACTTTTCCTTCTTGGGCGGGTGTCCTTTTTTCTTCCTTGAAGATGCAGAAAACTAGCAAAAAGGACACCCGATCGCCCATTTTCTTTTCAATTCCCTTCCTTATCTCCTATGCTCTTTTCCTTATTCATTGCAACAGGAGAATACCGGAAAAGGGCCTCCATTCCCCTCTTCTTCCTTTCTTGTGTTTTTGTCATTTAAAGGGGAACAGGAGAAGACAAGGGAAAGAGAAGGAGAGAGGAGAGATAAAAGGAACACAATTCTAATGGGAAGAGCCAAGAAAAGAATAGAAGAGAGATGAACAAAGAAGATGGAGAGACAAAACAAGGCGCAAAGAAGATGGCACTCTTCTTTATCTATCCTCTCGCCCTTCTCTCTCCCTTCCCTCTTTCTTTTCGAAACAGAAAAACTAAATTGGAAGAACTTGAAAAGGAGAAGGGTAAGGAAAAGAGCAGAAGAGACAGGCCGAAAAGAGGAATATGATGAACTGAAAAGAAGAGAAGACACAAGAAACAAGGAGACGGATAGCACTCTTCTTTATCTATCATCTCTCCCTTCCTTGTCTCTCGCTTTCCCCTCTATAATTAAAACAATAGGTGCCCTCTCTCCTCTTCAGGAAGCCCCCTTGCTCTTATTTTGCTAGCTTTCTGAAACGACAAGGAAACAACACATAGAAAGAGAGGAAAGGGAATGAAACAATAGGCAGTGGAGCTCTTCAGTGTCTTTACCTATCTCTTTTCTTGTTTTTCTTTTTCATTCAATAAGGAAAAGAAGCTTCCTTTGGTGTGATTTTGAGATTCAAAAGAGAACAAGAGAAGA